CCCCACACAAACAAACAAGCAAGACTCACCTCACACACGCCCCTCCCTCCCTCCCTCCCTCCCTCCCTCCCACCTTGCCCGAGTTGAGCCCGCCCCTCTTGGCGCCGAAGTTGACCAGCCGATTGCGAGCGGGGTCGATCTTGTAATGCGCACTGAAGGGCTCCTTGGTGCTTTCCAGTGAGCGGCCAAGGTCAGTCGCCCCCGAGCACCCCAGAGCAATCGGGTCAATGATCCACGGCGCCGCGCCTTCCCACAAGGCGAGCAGCACGCCGGACCAGAAGACGACGTGGGTGTTGGCCATGTTGCGGATGAAGGTGTCCAAGATGTTGCGCGTCCAGCCGCCCTTTTTCTGGGTGCCGACGCCGCGGTAGAGGATCCGGTTGGCTTGGAGCTCCTTCAGGTAGTAGGGGCTGCGGACGAATCTGTTGCGGAAGAACGCAGTGCGGTTCTGGAAGGTCACCGCTGCGATCTGCATCCATCGATACATATCAAGTGTGCTGTGTGTGTTGGCCTCTCCTCTCTTGGCCTCACTGTGTGCTGGCTATATGGGGCTGGCTGGTGTGTGTGTGTGTTGGTATGTATGGTTACCAACCATTCCGTGGCCGTCGAATGGGTGAGTGATTTTCTCGTCGCCGATCTCAAACTTGGCAGGGATGTTCTTGAAGAACGTCCCCTACACACACACACACACACACACGAGCAGAGGAGTCCCAGAGTCAGGACACCTAGCTACCGTCCAAACTGACCTCTAGGTCTTTCGGTATATCTCCCTCCAGGTAGTAGTGCCCCTCCGGCGGCTCCACAAAGCTCCGCTCCAACGCACCCACGTCACACAGCGACCTGATCACACATACCATACACACGCAGCCAATCACGCGTTTTGACAGACATGTCACACACTCCTGCTGCTGTGCTGTGGGCGTAAGTACTTATCGAGCCTCCGCTCAATGGCCGTCTTCGGCGGCTCTCTCGGCTTGCCGATGGCCCTCTCGGCTGCCGCATCCTCAAACCGCATGTCGGCAGCAGACGCCGACATCCTCAGCGGCGATGATGAAAGGAAGCCAGAACCGGCAAGCCTCAGTGGCCGCCGCCTCGGCCATTCTCTCACTGCGAGGGCTCCAGCAGTAAAGGCCAATGCCAAAAGCAAAGACCTCATCCCACGCCACGGCCGCCTCTAGAATAAGATCAGCCAGCCGCAGTCAGCAGGGCGAGGCGGGCACAGCAGCCAGCAGATCTGTGGGCTGGGCGGCGGTTGACAAGTCGACCCATCCCGTTGGCCGATGGACGACTTCATAAACCACGCATGGCGTCCTCCGGCTGAACCGCGGGTCACTCACCGTGGCAGGCATTTCCAAGGGTTCGGCCGGCCGAATGCACAGATCTCGCCACGCAGCCACATAAGCGGAACAAACCAGACGACCCGGGCAAAGATCGGAGGGTCCCGCAGCACCATCACTCCGCAGCGGAGCTGTGCATTGCCCGCGCTTCCCCTCTGCCCCTGTCACATCTGCGGGATTAGCTGTGCGAGCTTAGCTTTCGTGTGTTCCTCTTCGCCCGCGTAGCACACCACCGCGCATCGTCTTTCGGCCGGCAGCAGCGATGGAGCGCGAGCGTGACATGGGCGTCATCTTCAAAGTGTCGGGGCCACGTAAGCCAACACTCAACCTCACCTGGACACACTCACCCTCCCTCTCTCCGCGCCACGCCTGCTCGCTGTGCTGAAGAGAGAGAGAGAGAGAGAGAGATGCGTGTGTGGACAGAGAGGCAGGAAGGGCCCCTCCCTGTGTGGGAGGCCAGGGCAAAAGGCCAGGCCGCACCATGATATGATCTCTCTCACTGTCTATGTGTGGGTCATCCGTGTGTGTGTTGTGTAGTGGTGGTCGCCGAGAACATGCTGGGGAGCAAGATGTTTGAGCTGGTGAGCGAGCCGCACAGACAGACAGACAGACAGATGCGCAAAACCACAGGACAGGCACACAGACAGATGCGCATGTCGTGTGTGTTTGGGTGTGGTGTGTGTGTTATACATATAGGTGCGTGTGGGCCACGCCAATCTGGTTGGGGAGATCATCCGACTGGAGGGCAGCAACGCCTCCATCCAAGTCTACGAGGACACATGTAAGCCACACACACGCACATCGACCGACGGCCGCATACTGAGGGAGGGAGGGATGCGTGGATGGAGAGGGAGAGGGAGAGGATCTGTATGGTATGCGTGTGTGTGCTGTGTTTGTTGGCCTGGCCGCCCATCTGATGAATGTGGTGCAGCTGGGTTGACTGTCGGGGATCCCGTGGTCAAGACGGGGCAGCCCCTCTCCGTCATGCTCGGACCTGGTCAGTGATGACACACACACTTGAACACAACACATCGGTGGCCGGACAGACAGGCAGACAAACAGACAGACAGACAGACAGACAGACAATGTGTGTGTGTTTCTGATCTGCTCTGCTGTGGTGTGGTGTGGTGTGGTCCACGGTGTGTGTGGTGTCTGTGTGCAGGCATCATGGACAACATATTCGACGGCATCCAGCGGCCGCTGGAGGGCATCTTCAACATGTGCAACAAGGACATCTACATCCCCAGGGGCGTCGAGATCAAGGAACTAGGTCCGTCCGTCAGCCAGCAAATAAGCCAGCCAGCACCTCACTCCCCGCCACACACAGATAGATGTTGCTGTCTGTGTGTGTGTGTGTGTGTGTGCAGACATGTCTAAGTCTTACGAGTTCAACCCCCTCAACGTCAAGGTGAGTCGGTTGCTTAAGCAATTGTTTTTAAGTGCTCCTTGGGTCTCTCTCTCGTCGTGTGTGTATCTGTGTGTGTGTGCTATATATGTATCAGGTGGGCGACATGCTGTCTGGCGGCGACGTCTTCGGCACATGCATCGAGAACGAACTCGTCAACCAACACAAGTATGCCGACCGTCGCACCACCACACACACACACACACACGTGCACACGAGGGCGTGTCTGTGTGTATATGTGTGTGAATGGATGTGATGAAAGGATCATGGTGCCGCCCAACTCCAAGGGCCGCGTCAAGTACATCGCACCCGCCGGCACCTACAGCCTCAGTGTGCGTATGGCTGCAGCCAATCCACATACACACACACACACACACACTCCGATCTCCTTGCCCTGCGTGTGGTGTGCAAACAGGACAAAGTCATGGAGCTCGATTTTCAGGGCAAGGTCAGCAGTCCTCTCGTCCTCCCTCCCTCCCTCCCTCCCTCTGTGTGTGTGCGCATCTGTGTGTGTGTGTGTGTGTGTGCAGGTGGAGCCGCTGTACCTCTACCACTACTGGCCGGTGCGCCAGCCCAGACCCATACACGAGAAACTCGCAGGACAGGTCAGTCACTCTCACCCACACAGACAGATACCCTCACACAGACACATGGCTCTCTCTCTCTCTGTGCGCGCGTGTGTGTGTGTGTGTGTGATTGTGAGCAGGAAGCTCTGCTGACCGGCCAGCGCATTCTGGACTGCCTCTTCCCGTCTGTGTTGGGCGGCACGTGCGCCATCCCAGGCGCATTCGGCTGCGGCAAGACCGTCATCTCACAGGCACACACACACACACACACACACAGAGAGAGAGAGAGAGGGGTCCACCGAGTCAATCGTATCGTCCGTCGTATGGTGTGGTGTGTGTCAATGTCTTGACAGGCGCTGTCCAAGTACTCGAATAGCGACATCATTGTGTATGTGGGCTGCGGCGAGCGCGGCAACGAGATGGCCGAGGTGCTCAAGGACTTCCCCGAACTCACACTAGAGAAAGACGTAAGTCCTTGAGAAATGGACCCCCCGGGCACACACAAAAGGACGATGGCTGACCGACACGCAGGGCAAGGAGATCGGAGTGATGAAGCGCACCTGCCTCGTCGCCAACACGTCAAACATGCCGGTAAGCCAGTCTCTAGATGATCGACAGACACACACACAGCACAGATCCGCATGTGTGAATGCAATGCCTGGCTGTGTGTCGAGTGCAGGTGGCTGCTCGCGAGGCGTCCATCTGTGAGACGCAGAGAGAGAGAGAGACAGAGAGACAGAGAGAGAGAGAGAGGATTGCAGACACGCATAGCAATCACCACACGGACTCTCTGTCTGTCTCTGTCTCTCTGTGTGTGGGCCTGTGTGGACGCTGCAGACACGGGCATCACGCTGGCCGAGTACTTCAGAGACCAAGGTTTGAATGTGAGCATGATGGCCGACTCCACAAGCCGATGGGCCGAGGCGCTGCGAGAAATATCAGGTGCTTAACATGCAGACACACAAACACACACAGAGAGACACAGAGAGAGAGAGAGAGAGGATGTGTGTGCACACAGGTCGTTTGGCTGAGATGCCTGCTGACAGCGGCTATCCCGCCTACCTCGGCGCGCGGCTCGCATCATTCTACGAACGCGCCGGTGCGTCGCGTCCCCCCCCGCCCCCCCCCCACACACACGAACGATTGTGTGATGTCTGTGTGTCTCTCGTGCGAAGGTCGCGTCAAGTGCCAGGGCAGCCCGGAGAGAGAGGGCACCGTCACCATCGTTGGTATGTCACACACACACACGCAGAGAGAGAGAGAGAGGGGACACTTTGTGTGTGCGCGCCTGTGTGTGTGTGTGTGTGTCACCAGGTGCCGTGTCCCCCCCTGGCGGCGACTTCAGCGACCCCGTGACGGCCGCCACACTCGCCATTGTGCAAGTCTTCTGGTGCGCACGACTCGTGCGGTGTGCATGGCTGATGCGTGTGTGTGTGTCAATGTGGTGCCTCCATGTCCCTGTGTGTGTGTGTGTGTGCAGGGGGCTGGACAAGAAGCTCGCCCAGCGCAAGCACTTCCCATCAGGTGCGTGCATCACACACACACACACACACACAGAGAGAGAGAGAGAGAGGGAGAGAGAGACGGGTCGATGAGTCCATCCATCCATCCATCCGTGTGTGTGTGTGTGTTGGTCAGTGAACTGGAATATCTCCTTCTCCAAGTACCTGAGGACGCTGGAACCTTACTACAACAAGTACGACCACCTGACACACGCACACACACATGGGAGAGAGAGAGAGACAGAGAGAGAGAGAGCGAGCCCACTGATGGATGGATGGATGGCTCACTGCAACTGCAGGTACGAGCCGGAGTTCCCCACCCTGCGGCAGAAGTACAGGGAGATCCTGCAGGTAATCAATCGCCGTCAATCCATCCATCCACCTGAGCTGTCTGTCTGTCTGTCTGTGTGCGACGTGTGACATCTGTCTGCAGCAAGAGAACGACCTGACCGAGATTGTGCAGCTGGTCGGCAAGGACTCCCTCTCAGAGGTATGCATGTCTGTGTGTCTGTGTGTGTGTGTGGTACCAACACACCAGACCACATCCATGCGCACTCACACGGACGGCGCCGCTTGTGGATGGATGGATCGACTCCCTCTCTCTGTCTCTCCCTCTGTGTCTGTGCAGGACCAGAAGGCCACACTGGAAGGCGCGCACACCCACACACGCATCCATCCATCTATCCATCCGTCCATGTGTGTGTGCCTGTCTGTGCAGTGGCTCAGATCATCCGTGAGGATTTCCTGCAGCAGAATGCCTTCAGCGACTACGACTACTTCTGCCCCTTGCAGAAGGTGATCACACAGCCAGCCACCCCACAGGTGGATGTGTGTGTGTGTGTGTGTGCAGACGATCGGCATGATGCGCGTGACGTGCGCATTCTACGATGCCGCACTCAAGACGATGGCCGGTGGGTTGGTCCGCACACACACACACACACACACAAAAGACAGAGAGAGAGAGAGAGAGAGCATATCTGTGTGTGTGTCAACGTGTGTGTTGACGTGTGTGTGTGTAGACTCGAGCAGCGACGAGAAGAAGATCACCTTTGCGACCATCAAGCACTCGCTCAACGACCTCATCAACAAAATCACCGCCATGAAGTTCCAGGCAACCCACCCACACACCGTCACACACAGCAAGCACTCACTGATCATCCACACACTCGTCTCATCCGTCCGTCGTGTGTGTGTGTGTGTGTGTGTCGCAGGCGCCCAAGTCGACGAGCAAGGAGTTTGAGGACTACTTCAAGGTAGGTATCGATAATGTCATCACCCTACACACGGCTGTGGACCACTGACACATCTCTGTGTGTGTGTGTGTGTGTGCAGGGTTTGTTGGACGAGGTGGAGATTTCATTCCGCAAGCTCACCGAGGACTAAACACACACAACACAACACAAGTACCCATACAGACACGCACATCTAAGGGCGGCGGCGGGACACACTTGCTCTTTCATATGGATGTGTGTGTCTGTGTGTAGGGCTTGATCGATCAATGTGCGTGTGAGCGGTAGCTGTTAGGCGACTACCTACTTCCTTACATGCATGTGTTGTGTGTCTGCGGGCGTCACGTCGTGTGTGTGGTGTGTGGTTTAAGGCGTTCGTTTTTCTCGTCGCTCCTCGGCGTGTGCACGTGTGTGTGTATGTATCACCCACCCCTCACCCACCCCATTGCTGGCCCCTCCCCTGTGTGTGTGGTTTTTCGACCACCGACACACACACACAGGTCATCATTTTCGCACGGACAGTTGTGCGTGACGAAAAGATCGACCGATGGATGGATGGATGGATGAGCATTTCTTTTCTTGCTCTCGTTCTGCAGAATATATACGTGTGTGTTAGTGTGTGTGTGTGTGTGTCCACGGAGAAGCCAGCCAAGAGAGGCCAACCATTTTGAGGGCGCGCTATACTGTGTGTGTAAGCACATCACATCCGTAAGCTGTATGTACATTTAGCAGACGAGACGAGACGACAGAGAGAGAGAGACGATGACAGCAGTAGTTCATCATATCATCATCATCATCATCTTCGCAAAATCAACAACACACAGCACACACACACAAAAGTAACACACTTCCCTCTTTGGTGCACCCGCCCAACTCTTGTCCTGCTCGACTCATTGGGATCCTGCGCGATTGCATCCTTCCGCCAACTGCGAGCTTAAAGTTGGCCAATGAGAAGAACGAACCACCGGGAGAAAGCAAGACCGAAAAAAAGATGGGTGCGGGCGGCTCGAAGGATCCGGACACCTCCGAGCTGGTCAGGAGAGCCAAAATAGGTGTCGTTCAGCTCAGGGAGCCTTGAAAGGACAATCCATATGTCATCACGGAGCCCGACTGGGAGCGCCTAACATACGCGGAGCTGTCCATGGTTGTCAGCAGTCTCACGCCCAACGGCGGCATCCAGCATGAATACGGCTTCGCAGCTAAGGTGGACTACTGGGGCCGCCTGCAGATGGAGCAGAGGCAGCGGGACAGCGAAAGGTACATACCATGACCAGGCACGTCGGCACCCAGGTGGCCATGATGCTTACGTACTGTGCATGTCGTTGTCCTTTTGTCTCATGCAGGGGGCAAGACTTGAAGGATTCGAATTCTGCTCCATCGTCATCCCGTAAGTCGGATCCTTCGCCCCAGCCGATGGCAGCCGAGGAGGCAGGGGCTGCGGATGAGCTCAGACAACGACCCGGCCGACGGAGGAGTGCTGACAAGAACGAACAAGAACAGGGCGGACGGCAGCCGGCCGGGGGCGGTGGGAGGGCGGGTGCACTCTGACGGACAGTGACGCTGCATTCACGTGGCTGGCTGCTCGTACGTGTGTGTGTGTGTGTGTGTGTGGCCTGACCACATGCTGCTTGCCTGTCTGCCTGCCCGCCTGCAATGTGGTGTGGTGTGACCCCTCTCTCTGTGTCTCTCTTTCGGCCATTCAGCCATTGCTTTTAAGTACGTCAATCAATCAGTGCTTGTTCGAGTGCATATCGATATCTGGACGGCGTCCACACGCAGTCTGCCCACACTGACTGATTGGATCCACCCCACCTGACTGACCTGACAGGCACACGAGCGAACACTTACTTCACTGCGTCCATAGACAACAAAATTGACACGCAGACACGCACAGAGACACATCAGGCAGGCAGGCCGGCAGGAAAGAGCCTGAATGACGCCTGAATGAATGAATGAATGGGTCGCACACAAAATGCGCATCCGTGCTGTAGGGGACACACACACACACACACACACACACACAGAGAGAGAGAGAGAGAGGGCAGGTATTCTACACCCACGAGGAGCAATAGGTTAGAAAAGAACCGTGTTACACCATTGTTGCAAGAGCAGAGCACGTGTGAGCATCAATCAGCAGCACGTGCCGGCGGGAGAGCAGCCATTCTGCTGCTGCTGCTGCTGCTTCTGCTTGTGACCACCGCCCTCTTCGTGTGCCACCCACTTCTCGCGCAAGACCTCACCGAGCCGTGCGGCAGCTGACACACACACACACACACACACACACACATGAAAGGATGGATGGATGGATGGACACCAGAGACACACAGATGGACACGTGTGTGTGTGTGTGTCTGTGTGTCTGTGTGTCACATGCCTGTGTCGAGTTTGGCCTCATCGACGCAGCAGAAAGCAATGCGCACAGCGGGGGAGGGCTTGTTGGTGAACGAGAAGAAGTTTCCTGCACACACACACAACACGCAACACACAGCACACAACAGACAGCACACAGCACATAACAGACGATGAGGACACACTGCACACACACACACACACATGGACACATACCTGGCGCGACGAGTATTCTGTGTTTAAGTAGGTCCGGGATGATGGCGGCGCTGTCCTCCACCGGCAGCCGAAACGACGGCCACAGAAACATCCCTGTCGAAGGAACCACACACACCACACACACACACAGAGAGAGAGAGAGAGACAGCGGTGTGTTTGGTGCAATTGTGAGTGCACAGGCGTAGACACACACTCACACACACCTGCCACAGGAATGTCCATCATGGCGAGGTGCTCGCCGCAGTGCTTCACCAGCGAGCTGACCAGCTGGTCGCGGCGCTTCCTGTGAGCACACAAACACGCACACACACACGCATGAATCCCTCTCTCTCTCTCTCTCTGTGTGTGTGTGTGTCTGTGTGCGATTGTACCAGTAGAGAAACTGCAGATCTCTCACGTGTCTGTCGAAGCCCTCGATGCCCCAGTCACGCAGCAGCGAATACACCACCGTCTGTGTGACACACACACACACACACACACACGATGGGGATGTGTGTGTTTTGGTTGTGCAGCTATACTGCCTGACCTGTGCCATGGCGCTCTGTGTGGGTGCACAGCTGGTATAGGCGTAATACTGCGTTGTGAAGGCCTTGCTGGCCGTGCACTGATCACACACACACATACCATACACACACAACACAGGGAGAGAGAGGGTGAGAGTGAGAGAGAGACTGTGTGGTGTGGTGCCCAGTACTCACCCAGCCCGTCCGCAGTCCGGGCGCCACACACTTACTGAAAGTGTCCACACGGATCTGCTCTCAGATAGACAGACAGACCGATGACAGACAGCGGCGCTGTGCACACGAACGTCTCTCTGTCTGTCCTCGGTCTGTCTGTGTGTGTGTGTGTGTGTGCGTGTGTCAGGTACCACTCGGCCATCGATGTCAAAGCTCAGAAAGGACCGCTGGCCTGAAAACACACACACACACACACATGAATGCCGGTGCATGTGTGTGTGTGTGTGTGTGTCATTACTGTAGGGATCGTCGACGATCGCCGTCTGTGTGGGCGGGGGCGCCTTGAGAGACAAGAGGCCTGTCCACCCACACACATCCATCCATCCACCACACACACGTTTCTCTCCACGAGAGGGAGAGCCTAGCTTCGCGCGTGTGTGGGTGCATGCCCGCGCCAAGCCGACCCACCAGGGCACTTGTCGGCAGTGTAAGTCGCTCCTTCATGGTAAGAGGGGTACCGCAGGAACCAGTAGGGGTCGTCCTCGATGACCACCATGTCATACGCCTGTAAGCAATGTGGTGGACAGACACAATATGTCGATGTGCGTCGTGTGTGGTGTGTTGTCACCCTGGCCACGGCATAAAGCTCGAGTATCCGCTGCTCGCTTGTGACCTTGCCCTCGGGGTTCGAACCGACCTGTCCCATGTCATTGGATTGCGTGTGTATCTCTCTCTCTCTCTCTATGTGTCTGTGTGTGTGTGTGTGTGTGCCGACATACCGGAACGACATAGAGCGCCTTTGGCTTGCCTCTGCCGGCAGCTATGTAGCTCTCGCAGGCCTGAAGACACACATCAACACACAGCACAGTGAGTGCTCGGTAAGACTCTCACGCACACCCCCACGCACCTACCTCTCTGAGTGCCTCCGGGATGATGCCCATGTCGTCGCTCTCGACGTTGATGACCTCGTTGATGTAGGGCCGGAAGGCCAGCATCGTCGTCGAGTAGGCATGCTCGTCCGCAAAGACACCATCAGCTGCACAAACAATCACATTACACTCCCAGAGAGAGAGGCTCGCGTGTGTGTGGGGTGGGGTGGGGTGGGGTGGGGGGGACTTGGGTTGAAGACGATGCTGGCGATCTTGTCGAGGGTGTCGCTGTTGCCCGCCGTCAAGATGGTGTCCAGCACTGACACACACACACAAACACACACACACACACATATACACATACACATACACAAAGATAGGTAGACAGATGTGCACATGCAGGCCGCCGACCAGGGCCGTTTTTCTGTTCGTGGTGGCCGTTGGTGGTGGCGGTGGTGGTGGTGGTGTTTGTGCCGTTGACGAAGGGTGGTCGGGCGAAGGGCAGCACCGGCTGGTGGAACTCCATCTGCACACACGTGACGTGCGCACAGACGGACAGACAGACAATCTGCCCTTTGTTGCGAAAAAGAGTGTTCCTTTATGCCTTGCAAGGACTTCCACTCACCATAAACTTCTGCGCCCACTCTCTCAGCGGCTCGCAGCTGCCGTACTGCTGGGCACTGCACCCCCCCAACGCCCCCACGCCAAAAGAGAGAGAGGTGTGTGCGTGTGTGTGCGTATCCATGCATCCATCCCCCTTCACGAGTACGCACGTACTTGTAGAGCATCTTGGGGTCGTCAACCGTGACTTTCACCTTCTCTGCACTGCTGCCGTCGCCAACTCCCCTGACAGTCAGCTCGATGGCCTCGATGGGGAAGGCCTCGGCGGGCGGCAAACCGCCCGCAAGCAATATCGCCTTCTCGCGCTCGTGCGATGGCATCTGGCACACACAAAGACAGAAAGACAGAGTGACGTGACTCATGTCATCATGTCGGTCGATGAGAATCCTCTCTCTGTGTTGTGTGTCCTCCTTTCTTCGCTCACTCACTTGGAAGATGGGTCTGTGAAGGCCGACGAGCTGGTTCTCGATGCGGCGAGATACCCTCTGTGTGCAGTGTCCACACACACACAATGACACACACACACAGCTGCACTCATCTGTCTGTCTGTCTGTCCGTCGTGTGTCGGTGTGCATGCGATGACGGCGTTGGTACTTCTGCGAATGCATCTTCCCATCTGAGCGGCTTGGCGTTGGCGATATGGGCGGACAGCAGCGACGAAGATGAAGACATCCTGACAGACAGCTGGAAGGAAGACCTGCACACTCGACACACATACAGTGCACACACCTGTCCAGTGCCGGGCAGGCACCAGCATTGATTGGGCTGCATGTTTCTTTCCTACCAATGAATGCAATGTGAGATCCGGTTGCTTCTGTTTGGGTCGCGTCCAGAGCAGCCGATCTCTCTCTTGTCTGCAATAAGTTTCACGAGATTTGGCAGTTGATCCACTCGACGGGGTCCTCTGGTTGATTGCGAGGAAGATCAGCGAGAGATACCGCCCCGCCACTGCCCCGCCCACCACCACCACACCGCATCAGGCCTGCTCGGGCATCCTCACAGAGTCAATGCGCTGTGTGTGGAGGGTAAGTAGCTAGAGCACAATGGCGACCGATCCCAAGGACGAGCCCAACCACGAGCCGCCGGGCTTCGTCAGCTCGCCGCGGGTCATGTTCATCGCTCGGTGGCTGGAGCTTCTGTGGGGCTATGGCGTGACGCGCTTCTGCGTCGTCTTCACTGGGTGGTGGGTAATGAGGGGCGGCAGATGGGCCGTGCAGGCCATCAATCTCGTCCTCAAATGGTCTGTCAGTTCACAGAGGAAAGAAATGCCACACAGGAGGAGCTGGATGGTTGCGCACTGTTTGTGTGTCGGCGTCTGTCTGTCTGTGTGACGATCAGGGTGTTTGGCGTCACGTCGCCGCCAAAGCCCATCGATGGGAAGCACCACCTTTACACACTCAACTACTCCCACTTCTGTAACAAGGCACTCCACCACACACACACACAAAGGAATCTCTCTCTCTCTCTGTGTGTGTATGCTACACAGGCGCGTTGGGCACTGGATGCCTCTGGGGTGGCCTACAGCGAGACGACCTACGGCGTCATCAACTTCAAGCCCGCCATCACGGCCGTCAGCCGCGGCACCTACGCCGCCGCGCCTTATATGGTGGCTGCCGACGGTATGCATCAGGCAGAATAGTCGCACTCTTGTCAGGGTGTGTGTGTGTGTCGCAAAGAGAGACAGAGGTGTGGATGTGTGTGTGTGTGTGTGTGTGTGTAGGGGCGTCTGTGCCGGACAGCACGGGCATCTTGACATATCTGGCTGAGCACCACGGCAAGCGGGCGTCATGGCTGTTCCCCAACAAAGAGGCCACTGACCTTGGTAAGAAGGCACACACACACAAACAGAGAGAGAGAGAGAGGTGTAGGTGTGTGTGCGTTTGTGCGTGTGTGCGCATCAGAGGCTTATTTTGACGACAATTTTGCGTTTCCTGCGTTCCGGTTGTGCTACGGCCTGCTGGACACGGTCCCCTCCGGCCGCATGCTCTTCCTCTGTGTGGCGCTGCACACAGAGGTCACATCCATCTGGAAGTGGCTCGCCATACGTCCGTCCGCATAAACACCCACACGGCCACACACGCACACACACACATGTCTCTCTCTCCTTGTCTGTCTGTCGTCTGTCTGCATCGGTCCGTTCACCAAGCGAGCTACGGCATCCTGGGTCAGTTTTGCCGCATGATGAAGGCCGAGGAGGTCCCACACCGAGCGGCCGTTGACGAGGCCTTCGCCAAGGTGGAGGCGCTGCTGGCTGACGGCCGGCAGTTCCTCGCTGAGACCACCTGCCCGTCGGCTGCTGGTACGCATGGCATGTCTGCACGTCTGCCGGATGGATGGATGTGTGTGTGTGTGTGTGTGCAGATATCGCCTTCGCATCAGCTGCGTTTCCCCTGATTCTGCCGCCAGGTGCGTGCCATCAGAGACACACATCAATGTGGTGACCCACAGAGGGGTGCATTGGTGCCTCTGTGTCTGTGTCTGTGTCTCTGTGTGTGTGGTGTGCCATATCAACCAAATGCAGAGATGTCGCATCACTGGTTCTCCCTGGGCAACCCGCTGCTGCCTCCGGCATACAGGCAGGAGGTCCTCAGCCGCCGGGCCACACCGGCCGGCCAGTTCGTCCTCAAGATGTACAGAGAGCACAGACAGTGGCGCTATGATGCCGCCACATAGAGACAGAGGGAGGGAGGGAGGGAGGGGCGTGTGGTGTGGGGCGAAGCAGGAGTGCGTGTGGGTGGATTTCCAATTGGCTCTCTGTCGCTGCGGTGGAATGACAGTTGGTCACAGCACACTGATTGATGTTGTCCTTTGCTGTGACTGCCTACGGCGAGACCGACACACACGCAGATACGCACCGAAAATCTAGCGGCTCAGATCCTGCTGGCTGCTGCTGCTGCCGCTGCTCTCATTTCTAGCCTTGCCCTCCAGCAGCTGCAGCGCCACCGTGTTGAAGTGCAGCACATCCTAACACACACACACACACACACCATTGCACTACAGACTTGCACACAGCTCGTTGTTCTTTACTTACCCGTTCTTTGATGAGCAGAGGCCGCAGAGTGTCCCGCAGCCTCAGCAGCAGGGGGCGGTGCGCCGATGAGGTCACGAGCTGCCTCGTGTGCAGCTGCACGAGCAGCAGGGCCGTCTGGCTGAGACGCTCCACACACACATAGCCTCCACCTGCACACACACACACACACACACACATACAGACAGACAGACCGAGGGCCGCCCACCGACCCATAATATCGATGGCCTCGGCAATGGCGGCAATAAACTGCATGAGCCTCAGGGCATAGGAGAAGGGCATCGACAAGAGCACCTCATACAGCAGCGGGGCCGGCACCTGCTGCACCGCCCACAAGACGTGCTCGTGGGCCGTCCGCCCGGCCAGCTCGGGCTTGCTGCTGCTGCCGCCCATTGTCTCGTCTCCTTGTTCTTGCTGCTGGTCGGTGACTGCTCTCATCCAGACCAGAGCCCTGTCCTGGGTTCTCTTCCAATTGCTCTAGACAGCCACACAGAGGCAGACAGCGGTGTGTTGGTATCACCCACATGTCCAGCCGGCCTTCGTTGGTGATCTTGCCGATGGCCTGTCTGTCTGCCGAGCAAGACACTCCAATGCCGACGGCAGCGGCAGCCGGATGACCCGCACGTCGTGGCAGAAGTACTTGCCGCCGAACTGGGCACCGATGCCCATGTTCTGACATATCTGACACATACACACATCACAGACATATGGATGTCGATGGAGGGCTGTCTCCTCTTCCCACTCCAGGTCTCTGAATGCCCGACCGTGCTCATTGCCAGATCTAGAGGTGGCCAGACCGTCGAAATACCTGATAGACGCACAGACAAACAGACACATGGACAAGTGAAATGTGCGGATATAGATCTGCCCATACCTGCAGCTGGCCATCTTGAAAGTCTAGAATCTTGAGGGTCATCTCGGCTGACAAACCGCCTGCACACCACTGACTGACTGGCTGGCTGGCTGGCTGGCTGGGCGGGCGGAGGCTGGCTCGTACAGTATATGTATTCCATCTGTACGAGCCATACATAGTACGGTTACACACAGACAGACACACGTGCGTACATATTTGTGTGCAGTAGGCACGCGAACGTTAACGCACACATAGCATAGCGGGCAAGTGTTTGTGTGCGCGGACTGACTGACTGAATGTCCCCACCTCTCATCCCTCCACATCCCTCCCTCCCTCTCCGTGACACACGTGATCGACTTTCGTCTTTCTTTTTGCTAGAGAGAGGGATCGTAATGCACGGAGCTTTGTGTCTGGGTTTCCATGGTCGTCTGTGTGCATGGTGGTCTGATCTGGGTGGACGCCTGAATGCCGCTGGCTGGCTGGCTGGGTGTATGTCTGTCTGTCTGTATCATACTATCCTCTCCCGTCCTTGCTTTCTCTGCGTGTGTGTGTCGTGTGTGTGTCGTGTGTGTGTGTGTGTTGTGTGTGCGAGTGATGATGCGTGTGCCGTGGCTGGAATAAATGAACGACATACGTGGCCAACACTCATTCACCTGACACAGAGTATTGAGTGAAAAACAGCAAATACACATCGGCACACACATCCATCTGTCCGCCAGCCGATTTAAGTCAGCCAGCCGCCGCCCACTGCCAGCCTGGCCATCACCACACCCACCACCCTTCCAGTCGGTCGACAGCCACCTCTCGACGCCTCTCGACGCAGACAGACGGGGAAGGTGCCTGCACTAAGGGTAGGAAAGAGAAAAGGCAATAGACGTGGACAGACTTCCCCTTCCCCCATGTGTCGTGTCATCCGACCTCCGTCAGATGGTTGGCAGCAGCGCCAGGGAAGGGCCGTCCATCTTGTTGCGGGCGATGGCCATTCCCCGGGGGAAGGCAGCAGGACCACTGCCGCCCTGCTTGGGCGCCTCGGTGGTCCAGAGGGAGATGTATGCCGACCCATTACGCCCCTTAAACGTCTCGATGTATGCCGCAAACTCGTCGCCCTCCTCGTCGCCATGCAGTACGAATCGGCGTGAGTCGCCGTAGATGCTGTCGATGGTGCGGCAGCCGCCCCACAGGAGCGGCTGCTGGGCAATCAGGGCACAGATGCGACGACACTCGGCAGAGGGCGGACGCCAGGACCGACTCGGCACCAAACGCGACGACAGCCCGGCCATCCTGAAAGAGCAGGCAGCGGAAAGACAGACAGACAACATAACACATTGCTGTGCTGTTTATTCTCTCATTTCAGTCGCTGCATACCCTTCGATGATCAGTCCTCTGAAGCTGATGTACTCGCCACCACCGTCTGCAGACACACAGACACACAGCGGCAGACACCATCCATGTCAAGTTGCCTCTCCAGTGGTGCTTTGCCCTCTCTCTCTCTCACGTCGGCACGGGGGATCGGCCGCATCGAATCGATCTCGATATCTGGCCGGCACCGTCTGCTGTGTGTGCACCGTCACCTCCCACCCCCCCAGCCTCTCCCGCCCACTGGCATCGCGCGTCAGCCGCATGCCATTGCTCAGTCGGTGGCTGTAGAGGGCGTATTGGCGGATGCTGGGCGGGCGGCTGTCGATGACGGCCTTGCTGCCCACGTGCTGCAGGTCGTCACCCGTCAGCTCGATGGGCAGCGACCGGATCTTCCTGCAGGTCTTCACAGCGCAGATCAGATGATGACTGGCAAGATGAACCATCGCAGTGCGTTTCAGTGTTTTCGCACCTTTGGCGTCGCAAAGGCCACATAAGCAGTGCCTCAGCCCCTCCAAAAGGACCCATCATTCACACAGACTCGTTCTGCGTACCCCTTCGGGCGGACATATGCACTCACTCGAAGACGACAGTTTCCGCCGACCGGAGATCTGTCCTCTCACACAAACGGTACGCCATCGGCTGTGCTCAAAAACGAAGCCGTCAGCTTCTCAGGCAGCATCGATTCGATCACGCTAGCTTCAAACATCAGCAGACGAGGATTCTCGCTCTGTCGGCTTGCGCGTCGTGCCTTTCCCTCATTGTGGCGTCATTGTTTGGCTTATCGACTCATCGGTGGAGTGATTTGCTTGTCGGACAGTCACTGCCTTTCCACCGGTAAGCACTCGCACGCGAGATGAACGTCCGAACGACACACTCACTCACTCACTGCGCCATGATGTCACAGTGGTGGTCTTCAGGCGTCGTGTGGGCTGCCGTGAGGCCAGCGGGCGGCAGCATGAGCAGCACATCGGCATCAGCTGCTGCAGGTGGGCTGACTGACTCACTGAGTGGGAGAGAGAGGAAGGGGCTCACTTGTGTGTGTGTGTGTTGGCCAGGTGGTGGTGGATATAGAAATGAATCTGCAGTCAATGACATCAATCGCAGCGCCACACAGAGTGACGGGCTGCCGGTGAACCATCAAGCCATCACAGCCACACAGACCAGAGAGCGCCACAGCGTGTCGGTGTGCTCATAGTGATGTTGTGTCTGTGCCTGTCTGCCTGCCTTTGCAGCTGTCCTCTGGTCTGTTGGCGCAGCTGTCGGACATCAAAGCTCAGCTAGCCGTTGCCGTGTTGGACTCAAAGGTGAGAGGACAGCACAGAGGGCGGGAGAGGGCGGATGACTTATGTGTGTGTGTGTGGTGTGTGCAGTGTGTCAAGAAGATGGGCATCAGTGACACGATCGACTACCTCATTCAGAAGGTCGTTAGTCAGCGCATAGCTGACCTGCCTCCATGTGACACTGTGTGGTCTGTGGCTGTGTGCAGGGGTCTGTTGGCGAGAGGCGCCTGCCGATGGTGGAAGCGGCCGCGTCAGAGATCTCCGGTGCGCTAGGCAGCCTCCAGAATGGACTCAAACGACTCAACGGCGCGGCACTGGTACACACACACATCTACTGTCGATCCTTCGACTGGTGAATGAGTGCATGTGTCTTCTCCTGCCCGTGTGTGTGTGTGTGTGTGTCAGCTGGAGGGCCACTCCAAGAACTTCGCATTTGTCCCTCCAGACGCCAAGAAGACCACCAGAGAGACCACTGACACACACAAGAAGGTACGGCCGCTGCACCGTGAAGCCATCATGACGGCCAAAAGTATCAGCGCATGTGTGTATGGTTTGATGTGTGCAGGATAGTGTTGCAGACAGCACACCCGGTGTGCCCGAGTCGTCAAGTGCTGCGGCCCCGCCCTTCTTGCCCGGTCTGTCCCTGCCCACCGACGTCCTCCGCGACGTATTCCTGCCCCTCATCAGCCCACACAACACAATCGCCCTCTGCCGCACATCCGAGACGGTCGGCAGCGCACTCGAGGCCGCCCTGGTCGACGACATCGACAGCATCATCCAACGCGACGGACTCAGAGGCGTCATCGGCTACGCCCCGATGCGTCAGTCGACCAGCGTCCGTCGTCTGGTGCGTCGGCTGCGGCTGATCCGCCTCCACTATGTGATGGTGACGGGGGGCGACTGGCGGGGCAACGTGCCGGTGCTGCGGATGGCCAAGAGCTGTGGACGAGTGCAGCAGCTGCCCATCGAGCTGACGGGTGACGACCTGCACCACGTGGGCAGCAAGGCCGTCATCGACAGCCGCCCGCCCAGCATGCGCCAGTACAGCCTCTTCAGCCACCGACAATGGGACAACAGGATGGGGCTGACGCGCGATGCCGACGGGCGGGACTACCTGTGCGAGTGTATGGCTTGGTGGGAGGTGACGGTGTACACCGAGCAGACGGTGCCGGATGAGTATCGAGATCGATTCGACGCCGCCGATCCCCCGTGCCGACGTGAGAGAGAGAGGGCAAAGCACCACAGGAGAGGCAACTTGACATGGATGGTGTCTGCCGCTGTGTGTCTGTGTGTCTGCAGACGGTGGTGGCGAGTACATCAGCTTCAGAGGACTGATCATTGAAGGGTATTCAGCGACTGAAATGAGAGAATAAACAGCACAGCAATGTGTTATCTTGTCTGTCTGTCTTTCCGCTGCCTGCTCTTTCAGGATGGCCGGGCTGTCGTCGTGTCATGTGTCGCATTGGTCCTGGGATGCGCCCTCTGCCGAGTACAATCGCATCTCCGACCTGGTGGCCCAGCAGTCGCCCCTGTGGGGCGGCTGCCGCACCATCGACTACAACATCGGCGGCCCCTCCCGCCGATTCGTCATACTCTGTGGCGACGAGGAGGGCGACGAGTTTGCGGCATACATCGAGATGGCCAAGTGGCCTGACGGGTGGACAGACATCATCCTCTACACCAGCGATGCGCGCCGGCAGGGCGTCAGTGGCCCTGCTGCTTTCCCCCAGGCAGTGGCCATCGCCCACAGCAAGACTGGCGACGACATCGCATTACTCCCAATGGTCAACGAGGCCATCAACACAGGTACTTAAGGCACGAGAACACCAGATGAGTCCAACACAAAAGTGATAGTGTCTCTTGTTTCATGACTGCAGCTGGCGGGTTGGCGTCGAGGTGACTGAGGTGGACTTGGACGGCGGCACACACGAAGACATCGGAAGAAGCTGTCGTGCAGTGGGGCGGCAGAGGGGAGGCCGCGAGATGGACCGACCGGGCTGCCTGTGCTGCATCCATGCGGTGTGTGTGGTGTGTTGGAATCCCTGCCTTCTTCCTTCCTCGTGTGTCGATGTGGTGCGTTTATCTCTGTCTGTTTGGATGGACGTACACCGCATGAACCGACTGGGTGAGTGACCGGACTGCCTCTGTGCATGAGCATCCTTTGGATCGATCGATGACACACACCAAATGTCACTCTGAGTCTGTCAGTCTCTGTCGCACCACACACCCGTAAAACTACTTTCTCACTCACAAAAAGCAGGCAATATCTCTCACCGTCTGTCTGTTTGTCGTGTTTGTTGCCCTACTAGAACCTACACACTGCACATACATACCCCGCCCATCTGGCACCATCTCCCTCCCTCCCTCCCTCCCTGGATCCATCCGTTTATCAACCGAGCCATTCGGCGAAGAATCGTTGTCCTTGTCGTCGACAATGATAAAGGCCGGGAAGAAACCGGCCTTTATCGTTGGAATCTAAGTCCAAATCCACCTCTATTTTCCACACAGCCTGCACACATGGCATCCATTGCAAGCGCCTCTGCTGTGCTCTGTGTGGCCGGCCGTGTGTGCGCGAACACATACACACCTCCATGCCCAGCTCTTCGTATTTCAGCACCTCCACCTTCTTGATGCTGCAGTTCTGCGCCAATATCGCCGCAGGGCCGCCGATGCTGCCCAGCTTGCACGCCTTGGATACCTGCACAACGAACGTCTACCAAACCAATGCAACACAACACACCGCAGCAGCCACACCGATGGCATGCTCTCTGTCCTGCGTGTGCTTGTGAGGGCGTTGTAATGTACCTCCTTCCTCCTGTTGCCCTTGGCCAGAGTTATCATGGACCCGCCCGCAGCCATGAATGGCCCCACATAAGAGTCCATCCGGCCAGCAGTGGTCGGACCAAACGAACCAGACGCATAGCCAGCAGGCGTCTTGGCCGGCCCTGCATAGTAGATGGGATGGTTCTTGAGGTAGTCGGGCAGCGCTCCCTCTTTCTGCAGCCGCTCGTTGAGTTTGGCGTGGGCGATGTCCCGCGCCACAACGAGGGTGCCCGTCAAGGACAGACGCGTCTTGATGGGATACCTGCCAGCCACCATAGCATACAGCGACGAAGGCAATGAGCCAATGGGTGTGTGTGTGTGTGTGTTGGGAAAGGAGGGTGTGTGTGGAGGGTGGATGTACCAACGGGGGGGTGGATTGTTTGCCCACCCACTGACTGGGCCAAGTAGGTCGGAGAAACAAAGTGGGTTATAAATAGGTCATCAGTGGGTATGTGGGCCATCAAGGGTCATCCTACGGTCAAAAATGGCAAAACGGTGACATTTCTTTGCGCTTGCGCAGCGTCGTCAGTGTTGCTGACCTGCCGCTCTCTCTGTGCACGTGTTTGACCAACTCAAGGGTGCACTTGATCCTTGTGCTGGATGGGCCGGAGCACACCCACAGAGCGAAAGACGTGCCTGCAGAGATGACACTCACAGAGGGAGGAGGTCAGTCAGAAGTGCCTCAGAGAGCACCGCTCGACGGCTGTCTATGTCGGGCTGGATGCTGTGGTCAATCTGCCGCACAGAGAGGGACGGGCCGCACCCACAGAGCCAAACACGAACGGGCCTGCGGAGATGGACAAAAATGGTTTGAGAGGCATTGAGGGCGCTCAGAAAGAAGTTCCGCTGTGCATCAACCGGCAGAGTACATACAAAGCCCTCATCGAGGGAAATCCTCTGACACCCGAATGAGCCTTGGGGTCTTGGCACAACACGCCATCTCGACCTGCACACACAGACAGACTCAGACTCAGACAGAAATGTCTGCTCATTTGTCCTTCTGGCTGCTCCTGACTGCGTGTATGGCCTTCCTGTGAGCCTCTCTGCGGAGATCTGCCTGCCGCGTTGTGTCTGTGCCTTTCCTCCCGGAGCTTCTAAGCTTGCAACCCTAAGCCCTATCATACCTAAACCCTAATTATGCGATTATGTGGGGTTTGCGAATTTCGTGAATGAATGCGGTTGGTGTGCAGGAGTGCGCAGCAGACAGACAGACAGACACATTAATTAATGCACACACAGGGTCATTCATGTCAACAGGGAGGAGGCCCAGCTGTGTGTGCACTTCAGTGCAGTGTGTGTGCGTGAGGGTGGGCGTGTGCCATGCACTCCTGCACACGCGCACCCTCTCACACACACACACACAGGAGGTCTAAGCAGGAAGGCCGGCAACAGGAGGCATGCAGCAGGACCTCAACTCTAGCGGCTCAGATCTTGCTGGCTGCTGCTGCTGCCGCTGCTCTCATTTCTAGCCTTGCCCTCCAGCAGCTGCAGCGCCACCGTGTTGAAGTGCAGCACATCCTAACACACACACACACACACATTAGCATCGCAGACAGACTTACACACAGCGCGTTGTTTGTTCTTTACCCGTTCTTTGATGAGCAGAGGCCGCAGAGTGTCCCGCAGCCTCAGCAGGAGGGGGCGGTGCGCTGACGAGGTCACGAGCTGCCTCGTGTGCAGCTGCACGAGCAGCAGGGCCGTCTGGCTGAGACGCTCCACACACACATAGCCTCCACCTGCACACACACACACACAGACAGACAGACCGAGGGCCGCCCACCGACCCATAATATCGATGGCCTCGGCAATGGCGGCAATAAACTGCATGAGCCTCAGGGCATAGGAGAAGGGCATCGACAAGAGCACCTCATACAGCAGCGGGGCCGGCACCTGCTGCACCGCCCACAAGACGTGCTCGTGGGCCGTCCGCCCGGCCAGCTCGGGCTTGCTGCTGCTGCCGCCGCCCATTGTCTCGTCTCCTTGTTCTTGCTGCTGGTCGGTGAGGGCCTCGGTGGCCTCGTCGATGACCTCCATGAGCCGCTCGGCTGTCCGGACGCTGTCGAGGGTGCGCTTGGTGGGCCGAATGAGGGTGACCTCCTCTCCCCCTCCAGCCGCTGTGTCCATGTCTGCACACACACACACACACAGAGGGAGAGAGAGTGGCGTGTGTGTGTGTGTCTGCCACTGCACTGACCGTCTCGCGTGTAAGCGTCTTGTTCCATCCGCTGCTCCAGCTCCCTCTCTCTCTCCTCCTCGAGAAACAGCTGCTCCGACGTCCGACGCCACAGCCGAATGCCGCCGTCCTCCCCTTAACACACACACACACAGACATGGGTGGGTGGATCCCCGTGTGCAGAAAAGTGTGTGTAATGCTCTGTGTGTGTGCCTGCGGTGAAGAAGAAGGCGGCGTCGAGGCTGAGAGCCACACACGTGACGGCCGAGCCCCCGCTCATCAGCTGGGTGATGAGCTCACGCGCATCGCCGTCCCTATGGACATACACACACACATAGAGGGAGAGGGAGGCGTACACACACAGCCAGGCACACTCACACACACGGGGCTAGCAAGGGTCACAGACCAGATTTTGACGCAGCCGTCGCGCCCAGTGGTGACGAAGTAGTGGGTGTCGGGGAGAAACCGGGCCTACAACGTCCCCCCCAACACACACATCCATCCATCCATCCATCCGTGTGTGTGTGTGTGTGTATAGTCACTTTGGTGACGGCCTGTGTGTGGGCTCTGAAGGACGTGTGGCAGTCGCCGAAGTCCATCCCCCACAGCTTGACGCTCTTGTCGGCCGAAGCGCTCACCAGCAAGGTGCTGTCTGCACACACACACACACACACGCACACATCCGTCCCTTCCCCTCTCTCTCTCTCTGTGCGTGTGTGTGTGTACCAGTGCTTATGTCGAGTGCAGTGATGGGCAGCTTGTGGCCATAGAGGGTGACGAAAGGCTTCACTGAGGGGCCTGGGTTCAGGTAGTAGATCTGTGTCGTCGAGTCGAGCAGACCCACAGCGAGGAACTTGCAAGAGGGGGAATACTGCCACACACACACAGATGCGAACACACACATCAGAGTGTGTGTGTGTGTGTGCACCTCTCTCTCTCTCCCTCTCTCTCTCTCTCTCTGTGTGTGTGTCGGGGGAGAGCTTACCCTCACACACATGCCCTCGTCATTGAGCTCGTGTGCCATCGTGTCCACGAAAGCGACCGTCTCCGTCTCAACACCAACACCCTCTCCCTCCTCTCCCCCTGTGGGCGTGGTGCGCTTCTTGACGTAGAACTTGTAGAGCTTGAGCACCTTGTCGCTGCCCACTGAGGCGAACCTGCACACTCACACAAACACTCGTACACACACTAACACTCACACACACTCACACACACACACACGAGAAGACGCCCGTACCCGGTATGATGTGGGTGTGGGGCAATGTCCTGCACCGCCGCACCGTGCGCCTTGTCCATCTGTAAAGCGTCCATCGAGGCCAGGTCATAGAGAGCGACGCTGCCGTCCTTCAGCCCAACCACTATGTGGTCGTTTCCTACACACACACACACACACACACACAGGCACAGACATGCGGGCAGAGGGAGGGGGAGAGGTATGTGGTGTGATGTGTACCTGCCACAAAGATGGCACAGAGGCCGATCTGGCTGGCAGTGGGCAGCTGCATCGTCCGCACGGGCCGCATTGTGCGCGTGGTCCAGACCTTCGCACTCTACACACATACAAACACACACACAGAGAGAGAGAGAGAGCAGCATGTGTCTGTCTGTCTGTCTGTCTGTGCGTGTGTGAGGGAGAGGGGAGTGAGGGGTACATACCTGTTTGGCAATGGACAGGAGGAGGCCGTCGTCATGGCTGACGGCGAGCACATTGGGGGCGGCGCTGGTGGCGTGGCCGCTGCTGGACAGGTCGCACACCACAGGGGCCGCCAAGGCATACCTGTCCACACACACACACACACAAACACACACAATTGTCCACTATCCTCTGTCTCTCGCTGTGAGTGTGTGTGCTTCACACTTGAGGGAAGGTGACACAGAGGGGTAGGGGTGGAGGATGTCTGCTGCTGCTGCTGCTGCTGCCGATGTTGGGCTGGCCTCGCCATCCTGCTCTTCTTCTCGCTTGACTTCGGCCGTCTCTCTCTCTTCCAGAGAGCCGTGGACCTGCAAACTCCGCACACACGACACACACACACACACACACACGAGCAAGACATCCATCCATCCATCTGTGTGTGTGTGTGTCGGTGGGCTGTGTGTGGGTATTGGTTTGCTTGCCTGCAGCCTGCGCAGCTCGATGGTGTTGTTGTGCAAGCCCAGCAGCAGGTGGTGGTCGCGGAGGTCGACCGACGCCACTCGCTGCCTGACGTGGAACTCACCCAAGGCGCTCAGCTCGTCGCTGACGGCGTACGCCCTCTCCTTCTCGCTCTCCGTCTCCTCAACCCCCTCACCCTCTCCCCAGTCGTCACCTGCACACACACACACACACGCACGCACACAAAGAGAGAGAGAGAGAGAGAGAGGGGATGTCTACAGTGAAGGCTGACAACCAGAAACGCGCCGAAACAGCGCGTTAACTGGCGGCTCACCTCTTTCGCCGCCCCGTTTTGCCCTTTTCTCCCTGGCCCGCTTCAGCCGCCGTCTCTTCCTCTTCGCCTGCTCCTCCGCCGAGTGCACTCGAAACACCTCCAGCCGCTTGCTCGGCTGCGCGTGGCACAGCACCATCCCCCCTCCCTCTCCCTCTCTCGGTGGGGGGATGCACAGAATGCCCACCACACGGCCGGCCTTCTCTCCTTCTGTGGCTGTGGAGGCTTGTCGCTTCAATGCACCGAGGTAGGACGCTGTGAGGGGCATGTGTGTGACGGGGTCTCTCGGGGTGGGGGCGTCGGTGGCGGGGTCATCTTGGTCGTCACGATGGTGCAGCCGCCAAAGCCGTAGGAAATGGTCGTCAGATCCCGCAAAGAGCCGGTGCTGAAATGAGAGAGTGATGTACACGTGACTGCCTCTCTCTCTCTCCCTCTCTCTCTCTCTCTGTGTGTGTGTGTGTGTGATACCTCTCGTGTGTCGACGGCGATGCTCCAGACGCTCCCCTTGTGTTCGACCAACGTCTGGAGGCAGCTCTGTGTGCCCATGTCCCACAGCTTGATCAGCCCGTCCTTGGACCCGCTCACCAGCACAAAAGGCTCGCTCAGCGGCTCATCTACACACACACACACACACACGCAGAGAGAGAGAGAGAGAGAGAGACAACAATACAAGCCACACACACAGCCGCCGAGCAACACAATGCCATCCTCTGTGTGTGTGTGTGTGTGTGTGTACCTACCGTCATTCTGGTGCAGGAAGGCGATGGCCGTGACCTGATCCCTGTGCCCTCTCAACCGGAACAGCCCCCGCTGACCGACGACGTCCCACACATTCACGTCGGTGTCATTGCCGCCTGTCACCACAAGCGCGCCTGTCCGACTGCACACACACATGAGGGAGAATGAGAACATTTCTCCATCTCGCAGCGACCCTCCCCACACACACACACACCTGGCAGCGACCACACTGACACCCTTCTTGTGCCCGTGGAGCGTCAGCACAGGCGCCTTATCGGCAGGCCGCGCCACTCTCCGCCGGTCGCCCCCCTCCGCTTCTCTCTCCCTCTTGTCAATGTTGGTGTCGTCATGGCGCCACTCCCACAGCCGCAGGGCGCCGTCAGTGTAGCCGGCAGCTATGCAGATGGTGTGACACACAGAGGAGGAGGGGGAGGGAGAGGCAGGAGGCAGCAGGGCCAGGCATGTCACCTACACACACACACACACACATACAGAGAGAGAGAGAGAGAGAGGGGACCATCAATGCGTCAAACCACCCATCTCTGTGTGTATGTCTGTATGCGTCACCTGTTGTGCAGCGGGCTCCCTCGAGCCAGAGTCGCCGTGTGTATTCGTCGGCACGGTCAGCTTCGCCGCCAAAGCGCCCTGACGCAGATGCCATATCGCCACGGCCTCGTGGCATCCTGACAATCACACCCACCCACCCACCCATCCATCAATCCATCCATCCATGTGTGTGTGGCATGCGTGCGCGCGTGTGTGCGTGTGTGTGTGCCTGTAACAGCGTATTTGCCGGATGCGTCGAGGAGCACGTTGCAGTCCCTGGCAGTGACGAGGCCGAACACGTCCACGTACTCGTAACGCAGATACGCCTTCACCATGATGCACACACGCCGCGCCAGGCTGCTCGTGAGCCTCTCAGAGAGATCTTCTGCCGGCTTAGCTCGCGCCACTTTTCCGAGCTCCAGCGCTCCATAAGCACAAGGACCAAAGATCTGAGTGGAATCAGACGTACGCAAGAAAGACCGAAACATGATGCGTTTCGTTTGCGCGTTCATGACTGCGGTGTGGTCTCAGATGGACACTGGATGGACCCGTGAGGGAAAGCACGATGGCGCCGGGCTGAAGGGCACGCATGATGTCAGCTCAGAGCACAACCGCTGATTGGTGCACCAACTGGTGAGCTTACGGACAGCAGACAGACAGACGGACGGACGAAAAGTACATCCATCTGTTATGGCTGCGCATCTCCCGTCCCATGCAGGTGCCGGATCTTCAATCGGAAGACGAACCTGTCCTTCACAGACGTCTGGAGCAACGAGACTGACATGATCTCACAGTGCCAATCCGGCTATCTTGCTTGGTTGGTGCAATGCAAACATACAAACACGTTCCTGCACCGTGTGTAGCACTGCACGCCTGTCGGTGTGCACGTGTGCGGTCATTCGTCTGTTCGTGCGTGTACACGCAGGGATCCAGACATCCATAATCCCGTTCGCCCAGTGGCCGGCACACCAACCCCGGCCACCCAGAGGCCGCCGCCGAGCAGACCGCTCGCGAGAATGGCGTATGACAAGTGCCAGCAGATGCCGGCCTGGAGCAGTGACACGGCAGCGGGCAACGGGTTTGAGGTGAGCGCTCACACACACACACACACACAGAGAGAGAGAGAGAATGCCTGCGTAATGGAGGCATTGATGTCACCTTTGTTCTGTCCCTTTCCCCCCTCTCTGTGTGTGTCTGTCTGTCAGGTGAGGCTTCACAGGGGTCGGAGGAGGTGCACTGTGAGCAGCGCCTGCTACCAGCATTCTGAGGAGCGGCCGGGCCACCCCGACAAGACTACACTGAACTACTGGAAGCGCTGCGTGTCGTGGCGGGTGTGGACGCAAAACCCATTCTCCTAGCTGGGCGAGGTGCTGTGCTGGCATCGTGTGAGCTGGAGCGACATTTCGGTATTCGCGGCATTTTTCGGTATCTCCTTTCTGTGTGTGTGGGTTGGTGTGTTTCGCACTGTGGTGTGATGGGTTTGGATTGGGGACTTTTTGTTTGTTGTGGCTGTGGTGTTGACTTCGATCGGCGCCCAGATGTGTGCCGGATTGGGCTCCTTCTCGTCGCTGAGCGAGTTGTCGACGATGACGATGGCGTCCTTTCATCGCCGACAACTCGCTCAGAGGTGGATCAAGTCCAGTTCGTGTGTGTATGGGTGGGATGACCCCTTGCTTCGTTTCTGTTTGTTTTGGTTGGTATGGTTATCATTCTACCTGCCTGAAGACGTGTACGTTCGTGTGTGTCCATCCATCCATCCATCCATCCTTCCATAAGCTGTCTAGCTAGACTACAGCAGCACACCACAACCACAACCACAGCACGAAACACTCAATCACTCACTCACTCATGCGGTCGCCTGGCCAAACCACCAAGACGTGTTCTCTCTTCTCTCCAGAGGATCGCCATCCATTCATGCATCCATCGGCTAGAGAGACCAACACAGATACACGTACACACACACACACACACGCACATGGAAGCGGGCGGATACGGATGCGCCAGGTTCAATTAAAATCATTCATTCAGTCATGGCACGACAGACAGCAAGAGGGAGAGAGAGAGCGAGAGAGAGAGGCACAGGCATTGGCATCGCGTTCATCGCATACTGTCAGTCAACCGGTCGATCCACTGCGTGTCGACACACCAACAAGACAAGACACCAGCCAGCCAGCCACCATGCGCGTGTGTGCATGCTCACAAAACTCACTCACGAGGTATCCATGACGCGCTCGTCTGGACAGGCGGCAAGCGAATATCAAAGCGAAGATGGTCTGTCTGTTCTCTGTGCAAGCAGGCGGGCTGTTCTGTGTGTCTTCTCTCCCGTGTCGTGATGCCCGCGTGAAGGCTTCTCTCTTGCTGAGGGCTCACAGCAACAGAGAATCCTTCAAACCAGCACCAGTACACTCGAGGGAACACACAGACAATATACAGACATCAATCCATTCCATGATGGGGCGGGTCGCTGTGGTGCCCGCGAAAACAAACATACCAAGACACTCAGCCAGTCGAGAGCGCAAGTGCGTCCCTCCCTCCGTCAGTCAGTCGTCCCTCCCTCTACCCAGCTAGCGAGATGATCTGTCCGGCCACCGGCTGGCCCGGGCGCGATAAACAAAAGTCGACAAGACAGCTCCACAACACGCATGCACACATCAATCACATCACACAGCATGGCCCTCCACAGAGCTCCCCCGACCCCCGCCCCCTCCCCCGGCTGTCTGTCTGTCTGTCTACTGTGCGAAGTTGAGTTTGAGTCCGTATTTGATCGCATCGGCGTTGGACACATTCAGACCGTCAAACTGACACAGTCACACACATACACAGAGGGAGGGGAGGGGTGCAGGCAAGTGTGTGTGTGTCTAAGTGTGTGTGCGTATGGGTGTGTGTTCTGTGGACCTGGAATCCCATGGTTGCGTTGAGGAGCGGGCTGAAGGTGTGGTTGACAGCGATGGCGACCTTGGCGTCCTGGCTTAACTGCACCCCACACACACCACACATCAGTTCAGTCCATCACCCAGCGCACCGAGATACAAATGGCTGTGCTGTGCCTATCCACTGCGCACCGACCCGTGCTTTGATGAATGTGTTGTTGTCGACCACGTATTTGCCGCCAAACGACATGCCCGTCTTGCTGTCCGCCAACGCATGGGCCACCTCAGTACCAACCTCAGTCGCACCATCTGACAGATCCACACACAGAGCTTAGGTAATGTTGTTGTTGTCTGTGTGGGAGCTGTTCATCGCCAAGCGCCTGATTACATTTGCAGTGGACATTCAGGAGCAGCTTGGCAAAAGGATTGGTGCCCTCCATCTGGCTGCAAGCAGCCATACACACACACACACACACTCTCTCTCTCTCTCCGTCTGCGAATTTGTGCGTGTGTGAGCACGTCTTGAGTGATCCGGTCCACTGGTTGTTGGCGTAAGACGCGCCCATCGAGTACTTGAGGTTCGTCATGTCGAAGTTGCCCATCAACTCGCCTGAACAAACCAGCAAACACCCAATATGTGTGTACGTCACGTCACAGCAACAATCACGTCACAGCCGCAATCATGCCCACCTCCGAGCTTGAAGCTCTTGTACTCGGCCATAGCCTGCGAAGTCCACATCCCTTGGTACGGCAGAACAGTCGCCTGCACACACACACACACACGCGCACACACACAGAGAGAGAAAGAGCGATGCGCGCAAGTGTGTGTGGATGGCCTGCAGCGGGGGGCCGCGTGTGTGTGTGTGTGTGTATGCGTGTGTGTGTGTACCTTGCCGTGGATGCCTTTGTTTTGGTACTCGGCGGCCACCTCGACGTTGTCCGATGTGGTCTTGCCCTTACGACGGTCGAAGCGGGCATTCAGAATCAGACCCTTCGTGTAGTCACCCTGTCGACACATGCATTCGCCATGGCAATGTGTCAGTGTCCTCTTAGGGTCGTCAGCTGTTCCCTCCCCCCACCGCACTCACCGTGTATTTGGCATCGAATGTGACGCTGCCGTTGACGAAGAACTTGCCCTCGACTGACACATCCCTGCACACCACACGCAGGCCCATTGCCGACACACACGACCGAACGAACGAACGAATCAACGACCGGAATCCCATGTGGTAATGTGGATTTCTGACTGATTTGCTCAGTCACTTGTTAGCGAATTTGAGGCTGCTGTTGGCGTCGAGGACGCTGCCGGCCGGCAGCACCATCGCTTGCTGCGTGAAGGACTGCACACAAGACAAGACAGACACACGCAGCGCAGCACCCAACCACCATCGATTAAGCATACACACGTGGTCCACGCCACGTGGGGCTGTTAGGCGCCTTACAAAGTTGCCCGATTTGCTTCTGATCTCGGCCTCCCATGGCTTCTCGTGGGGGAAGTCCTTCGAAATCACATCTGCAGCACAGCACAGCGCAGCACAGCAGACACATGCCGCACACCATATCGACCAGACAGACAGAGAGAGAGAGAGAGAGTGTGTGTGGTGGCTGGTGTGTGTGTTCGCGCCTTCTGCCCCCTCCCTCCCCTCTCTGTGTGTGCCGCTCACCCGCCGCATTCTTGCTGATATCTCTGAAGAGCACCATCTTCCCTCACGCCAACAACACAACACAGGGCACACCACACAGCAGGGGGCGGGTCACTCAGGGCAGCTGCCAGCCGTCAGATGACAGGAGACAATCGATCTGCAGGGACAAACAAAGGCAGGCGCACACGCATCAGTGCCTACACGGTGTCTGTCTGCCAATGCAGTGGGCCTCCCTCCTCTGCTCTCTGCTCACATCTTCGCCCACGTCGCTTCCCTGCCTGCCTGCTATCTGCTGTCTGCCTGCTTTCTGCCTGCTGGTCCTCTCTGTTGCGTCGCGTGCCGCTGACCTTCTGCTTTGTTCGACCGAGCTCGCACCCACGGGTCCAGGGTTCGGGTTCGGGTGTAGGGTTTGAAAATTGGGGGTCACCCATCCCCCTTCCCTCCCTGCCTTCCGCAGCAATGCGGTGACTTGTTCTGTACCATTGATTATCGCAGAGGCGTGCAGGACCATGGTAAGGCAGAAGCAGCTGCAGACGAGGGAAGGGTGGACACACAAGTCCGTCTCTCTCTCTCTCTCTCTCTGTGTGTGTGTGTGCATGTGTGTGTGCATGTGTGTGTGTTCATTGCACTGCAGCTTGCCTCCATCGCATTCTGTGTGTGGGGCTGCGTTGCTGTTGGAGCCCATGCCGTTGTCGCGGCCAATGGCAGAAACGCCTTTGCAAGATGTGCTGTGCTGTGCTGTGCACACTCAATCACTCACTCACACGCGCGCATCCATGGCCGGCACACACGTACGTGTGTGTATGTGTATGTATGTGTGTGTGTGCAGACAGGAGAGTCGACGGGCGCGGAAGGGTCTCTGCTTTTCCCTTCCCTGCCGCCGACAGGTCCGCAGGCCTTTCTATGTGTCATCATTATGCGAATGGGAGAGTGTGTGTGTGTGCCTGTGTGCCTGTGTGCCTGTGTGCCTGTGTGCCTGTGTCTGTCTGTCTGTCTGTCTGTCTGTCTGTGCAGCTTGCCGGCGCAGCAGCTTGTGCAGATAACGAGCAATCGCACCGATGAGGGGCAGGGAGGTAAGCTTGCAGGCACACCGCATTGGTTGATTGGGTACGTATACGTGTGGCTGTGTGGTTTGGTTTGTGTATTTGTGCGCAAACACACAGGGCCCTTCGGGCGCTACATGGTCATGATCAAGAACAAGGGTGAGTTCATTCGCTTGCCACACATAGAGACACACTCAGACACACACACACACACACACTTCCACACCCGGTGAGTGAAGTGAATGACACAACCAACAGATTACCGTGGCAACGACATCAGGAGCATCGGGGGGGTGAAGAGCCAAGAGGAATGCGCACGGAAGTGCTTCGAGCACGGCAGCTGCAAAGGTGGGCCGTCCATCGATCCATCCATCCATCCTCCACCCATCCATCTGTCTGTATGCTTATCTGCCGACCTGATACAATTCCGTGCAGCAATGTCTTACGATAACCGCTGGGGGAGACACCGATGTTGGATCAAACGGACAAACAAAAACCTCCGGTCGGTCGATGCGTTTCTGCACATAACGTGTGTGTTCGGCTGGGCGTGTATGTGTGGTGTGTAGGGTGCTCATGAACGTTTTCACGGGCTTCATGAGCAACGAGTGCAAAGGGGGAGACTACTGCGGTAAGCCATCCAGTGGAGCGAGCAGAACAGGGGACGCGCTCGCACACACACACACACACACACTGAATGTCTCTCAAAGTCTCTCTTTCTTTCTTTCTTTCTGTGTGTGTGTGTGTAGTGGACAGATTTGGTGAGTAAACAACCCAGACAAGGGGCCTTCCGTCTGTGTGTCTGTCTGCCTGCCTGCGTGCAGAGGGCCGACAATACATGGTGATGTTTCACTCTCAAGGTTTGCACAGCACACTCATGCCAACTCTGCATGTGTGCACACAATGTCACTCACAGGCATTGCATTGTGTGCCTCTCTCTACGTGTACATAGATTACAGAGGCGCCCCCTTCGGGAGAGTGGTAACGGCGAATGCCGACCAGTGCGCCTCCCACTGCCTCAACGATCAAAGATGCACAGGAAAGCAGCGCAGCGAGACACATCCATCCAATGCATGCTCATATCACCACACACGCCCACACACGCCCATACATTCGTCCCTCTCTCTCTCTCTCTGTGTGTGTGTGTGTGTGCCTGTGTGTGTGCGTTTGTGTTGGTGAAATTGAATCAAATGCAGCCTTTACGTTTAACCCGGACACCGGCAACTCGTGCTGGCTCAAATCCACGCCAGGCAGCCGAGCCAAGTAGGCCACGCCATACGCACAGACACACACACACACACACACATACACATGCACAGGCTTAATTGGGCGGGCGTGTATACCGGATTCCCTTCTGGCGGGTGCAAAATGGGCGGGGGCGACTTCTGCAGTACGCACACGAATGGCTAGCTACCTGCCTGCCTGTTTGCCTGAGACACACAGGCGGATGCATGGAAACTCTGTCTCTCTCTGTTTGTGCGTGTGGCCGGCAGTCGACAGGGAAAGTCAGTCAAGCCGCGGACGAGCACATCCATCCACACACTTATCCACTCATCGCTCTCTCTGTCTCTCTGTCTGTGTGTGTGTAGGCGGTCGCAGGTTCAACGCCGTCATGAAGGAGGGTGCGCACAAGTCTCTATGTATATGTGTGCGTGGGCCCTTTGCACACAATACACACCTGCGCGTGTCGTGTGTGGGTGTGTGCGCAGGCACCTACATGGTTATGTACGAGAACACCGGTGCGCATTGAGCGAACCCATTCATCCACAAATCAGTGCTTTCCTGCCTGGGGGTCTCTCAGATTTCTACGGCAACGACATCAAGGGATTCAACACAGACAGCGCGGCATCGTGCGCGTACGCGTGCTTCAAACACCCCGGGTGCAAAGCAATGTCATGGGTCACTGACGGCCGGAAGATCTGCCTGCTCAAGAGCAAACCTGCAACCAGAAAGTAAGTATGAGAGGCAGAGGTAGAGACAGAGACAGAGACGCAGAGACACGTTCTTTCTGTGTCGATCAATCAGGGGACATCGCCATCGGTATTCAGGCGAGATTTCTTCCGCATGCCCTTCCGGCAGATTCTGCTGTAAGTACGCACATTCTCATCAACGTCGATCGCCTCTCCGTGTGTCTGTGCCTGTTCCTGTGGCTTGCTTGTTTTGACGCGCGAACCCGCACAGACGAGAAGCAGGGTGAGGACGCCAATGTACTCTCATGCGTGATGAAAAGATCTCTCTCTCTCTCTCTCTTTTTCTCTCCGTCACAACTAAAGGATTCGAGTCACCTCCCGAGTCACTGCCGCAGAACGCCCCACAAATCCAGAGATACGGTCGGTGAGAGTGAGGCATGGACGCGCTCACGCACAAAGGCATGCGTGGACGCATTGAATGGGCCTTTGTGTGACAGGCAAGGGGCCTTTCATGGTTATGTTCCAACGAAAGGGTCGGTGAGGCATGCAGGGGTCCAGTCGTGGGTGGGCGTCTGGGTGACTGGATACGCGGATGTGATGTCTGTGTGTAGATTACTGGGGCAACGACATCAAGAGCTTCCATGCGCAGTCGATGGAGGCCTGCGCCAAGGCGTGCTTCGAAACGAAGGGGTGCGGGGCTATAGCGTGGAATATTGGCGGCCGCAACTGCTGGCTCAAGACTAAGGCGGCGAACTTCCGGTCGCTCAGTTGGCATGTCCCCTGTGTATCTGTTGTCATCCTTATGCGTGCTCTCTCTCTCTCTGCTATCCGACGCCCAGCCACAACCACTGGCGCGCGTCGGGTTTCATTTCGGACCTCTGCAATAAAGGCGATTTTTGCATCGAGAAGGACCGTAAGCAGGCACACAGAGACGCAATGAGCGCCTGTGGCCGGCCGGCCATGTGTGTTTGGTTCTTGGTTGGCTGGATGCAGCCGGCAAGAACATCGCATTGGGCAAGACGGCGTCGGCGAGCGGTTCGTGGCGCGGCACCACACCGAACTTCGGCATCGATGGTCAGGACTGTGTTCACCCCCCACCAACCCCACAGCTACATCCACACAAACAGACGCACAAACAAGCAGACATCCACACGTGCAGGCAATTCTTTTGGGCGGCATCCGGTGATGCACAGTAGAACGGGATGTGGCCCACACTGGTCAGTCAGTCAGTCAGTCAGTCGGCTCTTGGATGCGACGCGATGCGATCGGTGTGTACGTCTGCCTGTCCGTCCGTCTTTGTAGGTGGCAGGTGGATTTGGGCAAGGACTACCCCGTCGGCAAGATCATCGTATATAACCGATACGATTGCTGCGACAACAGGTAGATAGCTAAGGACGTGACGTAGCTACACGCACATTCGACATACATACTCTCTCTCTCTCTCTCTCTCTCTCGCTGACATGCAGGGCTGACGGCATTCAGTTCTGGATCGGCGACAACCCCCGGACAAAGACAGGCAACGAATTGTGCGGCACACTCAAAGGTCACCCATATGCCCTATGGGACTGACCACACACCAGACACGTCACACATCGTCATGGCATTGCATGTTGATCAGGCACCAAGTGGCTCTATGTGCTGTGGTGTAACATAACGGGCCGATACGTCTACGTCGCACACACCAAACACTGCACACACATCAACATCGCCGAAGTAATCAAGGCACCCAGCCCCGCCAAGCCAACACACACACACACACACACACGGACGGGACAGTGTGTGTGTCTCTCTCTGTGTGTGGGGTGGGCATGTAGATCCAGGTCTATGAGCAACAACCGCTTCCTCCCGCGAATTCGTTATCACCTGAAATGGACTTTTTCTCAGGTGAAAACAGACTTCAGCGTGCACTCATGTGATCGCTCTGCTCCTCCTTGGAGGTCTCACACATCAGTGTAATGATAGTGATTCTGCAATGGGACGTGCCGCTAGATAAGGCCTGGACGAACGAATCGCTCTGTCATTCTCTCGAGTCACACGATTGTGTGCTTGCTTGTCAGTCAACAATCAATGATGGATCATTTAGATTGTCATTCAACTCATTCATTCATTCATTCATTCATTCATTCAGTGAATCACTGCATCACACTGCAGACAACCCTCCTCGGTTGCTTCGCTTGGGAGACGGCCGTGATCCTGGCCTGACTGGCCACGATGTGGCCGGCCATGGATGTCTCACATCAGCCATACATGGTCAATATAGCCGGCCACCCTATAGGAAAACACCCACCACCTCCCCCGTCGGGTCTTCCGGCGGAAGAGCCGACGGGGGACTCCCCTACGTCCATGGGTAGTATCGGTGCCTTCGACTGGAAGGGTTCATAGTTCGTGTCCCCCGTCGGCTCTTCCGCCGGAAGACCCGACGGGGGAGGTGATGGGTGTTTTCCTATAGGGTGGCCGGCTATATTGACCATGTATGGCTGATGTGAGACATCCATGGCCGGCCACATCGTGGCCAGTCAGGCCAGGATCACGGCCGTCTCCCAAGCGAAGCAACCGAGGAGGGTTGTCTGCAGTGATGCAGTGATTCACTGAATGAATGAATGAATGAATGAATGAATGGAATCAATTCATTGATTCACTGACAAGCAAGTACACACTTATGTGCCTCGACTGACGCCCTGTCATTGCGGAATGGCGAAGTCTTTTTTTCTGTGGGTTTCACACAAGCACTTCACTGCAAATGCGTCGCATTCGGATCATTCGGGCCTGTAAGGGCTCAAGGCTTGCCTGACGCTGGCAAGAAGTCTGTTTTCTCATGAGAAAAAGTCCATTTCACGTGATAACGAATTCGCGTCAAAAGAGCCGATCGCACACGAGGCCGGACAACAAGACATCCCAGGTACTTACTGATTGCGCATGCATGTCTCAGTCATCCAGTAAACAACCACTCTCTCTCTCTCTCTCTCTCTCTCCCTCATCCCCTCTGTGTGTGGGTGTGTGTGTGTGTAGTCGCTGCGCCGGATGTACCGAGATTGGGCACCAAGACCGTCGGCGAAGAGGGAATTGTCGTCACCTTGTAGCGCATTGACTTGTGGACCATGCATTTCGATCGCCGCTGCTCTGCACTGCTTTACATATGTGTGTGGATATACGCGTAGGTCCTGCCCAGACCAGCTTTTTGTGCTGTGTGTGTCTCCTTCTACACGTGTAAGCGTCTTTTGGTCCTTCCTGCCGCTAGCTGAAGGTTGCAGTGCTTCGTCCTCATTCACGCACAGAGGATGCAGTGTGTCCCACCAGCATCACACGTACGAGCACCCACCCAGCCACCCACAACTATCACAAATACCACTCTCTCCGTTGGCATCACATTCTGTGTGTCTCGGTGTATGTGTGGAGCTCCTCCCCGCCGTCCCTCCGGCTATCTGCCCGTCCGAGTGTGAGGCCCTCCTTCCCTCCCAGCAGCAGAGAGAAATGAGCGAAAAGGGCAGATAGAAAGCCTTCACGTCGCCACTTCCTTTCCCCCTTCCACCGTATGCATGCCTCGCCATTGGTGCCAATGCTCCAAATGAGAATGCGATCGACTCAGCGACGGCGATCAGTGGCATACTGGCGGCCCCTCAAACCTGACAATTCAGAAAGAGACACAAAGAGACTTAAAGCACCGATCGGCAACCATCTTCATGTTTGCCCGCCTGCGCACCAGTGTCCACCGCGCTCCTGGCTTTGCTGAACCGGGGCATCTTCCACTGGCTCTCCACCTTGCCCCCAGAGGCCGTGATGGACCCGCGCGAGGCCCTCACGGCCTCGTCATGACAACGGATGTACTTCATCACGTTGTCCCTGATGTGGTCCCTGGGCATGATGCCCCTCTGCTGCATCGCCCCACGCACACCACCATAGGCCGGCTGCAGCAAAGTGGCCATTCTATGGCCGTCAAATGCGTGATCGTGGTGCGAGGAGGGGAGGGGTCTGGAGAGAGAGGGGCGGGGGGAGGCCTTGGTGGCCACAGCATGGCGCTTCGGAGGCAGACTGAGGACCAGACAAGACGAGAATTGATGAAGGGATGTTTCTGTGCATTTATTGCTGTGGGCTTACTCGTTGTTGGGACGGTTGGCATGCGATGGGTGCTTTGATGTGACGTTGACATTAGCTGCAGACAAGATAAGGCCAACCAGTCCGCAGTCCTTTGATGTCTCTCGCCTCTATATGATCCCACCGATTCTGCTGGCGATGGGCGTCGCCCTGCTGCTTTTTTTCTTCCCCTCCCTGGCCCCCTTGCCAGCGCTTTCGGCGGCGACAGCTTTCGCACGTGTGTGCGGCGGCCCCTCGGCAGACACCTCATGCACTGCAGATATAGAGGAGCATAATAGAGAAGCATCATGCTCTGTTGCTTCTGCCATTCCGTTTTTCTGAAGAACTCACCGTTGCTCATCTCGGCATTCTGCGTCTCCATCCTTTCCTTGGCCCCACTATACTCACCACCAGGGACTGGCACGGCCGACACACTCTGTGGAACTGCAGGGCCTGCACACACACATGAGAACGACATGCATTCATGTCGATGACAAATCTGCGTCTCGAGCTCTTTCTCACCTTTGCCTTTATCTCCAACCGTCTCCACTGTCTTCTCAGTGCCCCTTTCCCTTTTCGTCGAAAGGAAAGCCCCGTCAGAGAGGGCCTCCTTCATCGCAGTCCCTCTGAAGTGCAGCCGAGCCACCTCTGCAATGTCGGCACGGCCCCTGTCCTGCGTCAACGTCTCGCGCCGCCGGACACCCACCGCGGCATCACCACCGTCGCCGACGTGATCCGCCGTGAGGGCGGAGGTGGCCTTGACAGCGGCCTCCTGCTCGAGTGTTCTCCTCATCATGAGGCCGTCGAATTGGCGGCGATAGCTTCGGTATCGGGGGGTCTCATCCTCCATTTCGGCCCTCCAGTACTATAATGCGTTGGAAGAGCCGAGTTCCATTCTTGCACGGATGCGAATCTCCACGGCAAGGAATTGAGACGGGACGAGAGTTTTTTCGAAGATTCGACAACTTTTCACATTTTCGGCTCCGCATCGCCTTTCAGCCTTCTCTGGGCCACAGATGCCCGCTTCTGTTTCTTTCCATCTGCATTTTGGCTTTGTGCGGTCCACCCGGTCCGCCTCTACCGCCGGGCCACAGAAGAGCTGGTTCCGTGCGTTTGGCCGTTCTTGTTGTGACAGAGCAGCTCCGTATTGTCATTGCAATGTTCAGCAATGAGCAAAAAGTCCAACGAAGCGGTGAGCAAACGAACGACGTTCTATGCATGTTACCTTGTTGTCCTGGATATGTATGGCACATTTGTCCTTCCCTGCATTCGCATTGTGCGTATGTGATCTCAGGGCCCGTCCGCCACCCGCGACAAGTATAATCTGCGCAAGACCACCAAGGACTGGCTGAGGAGCGACAGAAGAAAGCCGAGGAGCGCCGCAAAGCCGCCAACAACCGCAAAGCCCGCTCCCGCGACCCACACGAGAGAGAAGAGCAGCAGCGCCAGCATCGCAAGAAGAAGACCCGCCGGGGCGGCAAACACCTGAAGCGCAAGGCGCCAGTAGTGCGGAATGGGACGGAGGAAGAGGGTGGTGGGCAGGGGGAAGGAGGGTGCATGGAGTTGTGTGGTGGCCGCTGCGGGAGCTCGACTATGAATGCGCGGAATCATCAAGCAGCACTGCATATTCGCCGGTACATGGACAGGCAGCATGGTTCGACAAGGGGATTGAGGGCGAGAGGCAGGCGGAGCCTGAGGGAGCCGAGGACGGTGATGGGATGGACGTCGACGACGAGTACCCCAGGATCGCCTTCCCTGACGGCACGAGCGAGGCCACCAAGACCCTCACCAGGGAGATCGTCGCCGGCACATTCACCCAGCACAGCGTCACGGCCATGCTCCACCAGGGGGCCGACCCCAAGGTCATCGTCGACGTCGCATTTGAGCATGAGACCCTCGACAACAGAAGCCTGGTGATGCTCGCGATGGAGCACCACGACACCAACACGCAGACCGCCAGGGTTGTGCGTGTGCTGGTGCCGCCATGGCGAGGCGGTGGAGGCGGCGGTGGGGTATGGGATGTGGGGGGTGCTGACGGCGCTGCTGATGGGGGAGCCCGTTCTCAAGAACAGGCAGCTTCTGCACTGCCTGCATCGCAGTGAGGCCCTCACGGACAAGGCCAAGCTCGGCCTCGCCAAGGCCCTGCTCGCCCGTGAGCCATCCCTCACGGCCGAAGAGGACAAGGACGGCAAGACGCCCCTCGACAAGTTCACGGCCAGCCCCCTTCGTGACGCTGCATCTCAGAGGGAGCTGCTCCGGCTGCTCGACCGCAATGGAATGCGGCCTGAGAGAGAGGAGGACATGAATATGAATGACGGGCGGGGGCTGGGCTTTGGGCGGAAGCACAAGGAGAGCAGGTAAGACTAGTCGACAGACACAACTAAGTGCCCTCTACCCATCAATATACACACACACACCTTGTGTTGTCGGCCATATCCCTTCTAAATTGCTCCCTTGTACGTACAGGCCGCTGAGGGGCCGCGACGATGCTGCCGATGACAACGATGACATGAATGACGGGCGGGGGCTGGGCATGGGCCGGTCGTGCAAGTAAGCAAGCTTCTCCGACACACCGATCAATCCTTACACACACACATACGAATGGACAATCTGCTGATGTGCTGTCTTCCTCCAATAACTGGTCTATGCAGGACACCATCGCCACCACCACCACAAGTATGTGGTCCTGCTTCCACGGAATCGACGTGCCGAGACTGCCGCTGAGCGTGCCGCTGAGTGACATGTGTGTATCCTTCGTGGGTTTGTATCTTGTTCTCGTCTGTACGTACGTACAGTGAACATGGCGGCCGACGCCGCTCGTTCGTATGGACCCCGACCATCGGGAGCTCAAGGGCCGGCCACGGATCAGCCCACAGACGGTAGCTTCATGCACACATTCACACACACACACACGCACACGTGTGTCATTCTTTCTTGATGTGTGTTTGCGTGTGTCAGATGTTGGGCATGTTGAAGGGCGAGTACGGTGACGTGGTGTCGGGCGGGTATACGGTGCTGGACGCTCGATGGACCGACGAGTATGAAGGTATGTGTATATGCCGCATGGACAGACAGACACCCTCACACACAGACAGAGACAGAGACAGAGAGAGAGACCACATGCGAAACGACGTGTCTGTGTGGTGTGTGTATGCCATTGATTGCATTGGCCATGCAGGAGGGCACATTGAGGGGGCCATTCATGCATCGAGCAAGGAGACCGTCCGCGATGCCCTCTGGGACCCCAATGGCTGCCCCAAATACGGACCACAACACGTAACCAACGCAGTCCATCCATCCATCCATCCATCTGTGTGCATCAACAAGACTGACTGATGTGTTTACTCAATGTCTGTCTTTACCTCAATCAATCAGGTCGTGGTACTGACTCTGACTCAGGAGAACTGGCTGAACCACAGAAAGACTTGTCTTTACTAAGTTTACTTGTCTTCTCTGTGTGGCTGGGTGGTGTGCAGATCGCTGGCTACGTTTTATATTTCATCGATTCATGACGACTCGTTCAACCGCACTGCCTTCTTTAGCCCTTTGCACATCGAAGGTGAAATGTCAAAGCAGACCAATCGACCCCCGTGTACGTGTCTCATGCCTGTGTGAAGGTGGATCGCCGTCTGCATCTTTCCATCTCGCGCCCGGTCACACAGGTACGTAAGTGAGGGATAAGGGAAGACTGCACAGCCACTTCGACGTGCATCCTAGGCCTTCTCCAGCTCCCTCTTGATTGGATCGTTGACTTGGTGTCTGTCTCTGCCTGTCTGTCTGTCTGTCTATCGTGCGTGTGCGCGTGTGCGCAGCTGATGTATGTCAAAAAGGGGAAAGCTGCCGAGCTCCCAACACAACAAGACTTCGTAAGCCAGGCCACAACAGAGAGAGACATGACTGACCTGACCTCTCTTCTTGATTCATTTCCTGACAGGATGGCAACACGGCGCTGCACACTGCAGCCCACTTCAACAACACAGCTTCTGTAGAGCAGCTACTGAAGTGGGGCCAGGAACAGGACCTGCCTCTCCTCAGAATCAGCAACCATGAGGTGCGCATCAATGCCTTGAATGCCATCCATCCATCCATCCATATGCACAAACATTGCTGTCTGTCGCGTGTAGGGAAAGACTCCATGGGATTGTGCTTTGGGCCACCCGCGCATTAGGCAGCTGATGAGGAAGTACAGATAATAGATAGGTGCAGGCAGGCAGGCCAGCAGACAGACAGACGCCTGTAATGGATAATATCAGTTTCTGGGCGTTAGTTAGATGAGACTTTTGGGACAGATCCAATCAATGCATGGATGTCTGTCTGTCTTCCGCGGAACACAGAACTGGACACCTCGATTCAAGCCGAACTGGACCGAATCTCTGGCCAGAGTCGATGTCTTCTCTGTCTGTCCGTGTGTTTGTCTGTCCGTGTGTCTGTCTGTGCGACAGCAAGGGAAAGGAGAGAGAGAGAGACACGCACAGCCCGACAATACACAGCACACATGATGTGTCTCCTGCTTTGGCCTTTGTTTGTTCTCCTCCCTCCTACCTACTTACTTGTCCCTCAACCAGGCCTGATTGAAAGACACATAAGCCCGTCGCTGAAAGGAGAGAGAGACACAGACGAGAGAGGGCGTGCAGTGCGGATGGGATGGGATGGGTGTGTCTGTGCGTGTGTTGTGGGACGAATCGGTGCAGCCTACCTGTGTGCATGTCGAGGCGGCAGATTCTACGCGCCCTAGGTATGCGGGGCCGAGTGAGACAGTGCCATGTGCAGAAAGGGGATCGATGTCATGGATACAATTTGACCGATGGACTGACTCATGCAGTACATGTACATGTAATTGTCTTGTGCATGAGCAGTCTTGATCCTTCACAACACACACACACAAACACGGGCATATGCTCTTCATTCAAGCGTGCAATGAACACAGTTGACGTCACATGACGGGACGGCACATCGCCTGTCTCTCTCTCTCTCCCTCTCTCTCCCTCTCTCTGCTTGAAAACGACGATTGGCACTATCTGTCTGGTTTTCTTCGCATTCAGATCTCATCCTCCTTCCGCCACACCTTGCCCCCCAGCTGATCTCCCAGCACTCTTATCACCACAGTGCGCGTCTGGTCGTGGGGGGCCGACTCGGTCGTGGAGATCTCCACATGTCGTCCATTCGTCCGTGTCAGGCGAATGACTGCCATGTGCCCCTCGCCCATCACCTCACTGCCCACCACCACCAGCCGGCAATGCCATCCGTCCTCCCTCCTTTTGTCGAATACGGCCGCCCCCCACTGTGCCGCGTCGCTGTGAGAGGCCGCCAGCCGATCACCCGCACGGAAGTACGCGGCAAAAGCACGACAGTAAGACCACCAGTATCTGATGCGACGAATGTGGTTCCCTTCATCAAGCCAGTCGAACACCAGGAAGGCCACCATGGACGTGTAGTTGGGGTACGTGTAGCCATTCAGCTGTGTGGGCGGGTCGGCGGGGTCGAATGGTGCATGAGGGAAATAGGGGCTGGCAGAGTCGAGGAGGGTGGGGAGCTGATAGCCATACCAGCGGCGGAGAATCGAGTTTCCGTCCATCAGCTGTCGCTGTTGGTCTCCCTGATTGACAGTGACCCCGCAGCTGAGTATCCTCCACTGGCGGACCGCCTCCGTCTCACTCATGAAGGCCGCCCGGCTGCCGAAGACGCCGAAGTTGTCATCCCCCAGCACCAGTGGCATCTTGCCTCTCAGCAGATACAGCATCTCCACCACTGGTTTCCATCTGGCCCAGCTGCGGCCCCTCTCCATCATCCACAGCCGGCGGCTGAGCTGTTCGATGAGTGCCGTAATGCGGCAGCCGTGGCTGAGTGCCTCAGGGAGCGGCAGCTGTGGGATGGGCACCTCCACCAACACACCGAGGCCGAGGGGCGCCGCCACAATAGGCAGCAGACGCTGCAGCATGGGCAGCAGGGCGGTGGGGGTGAGGGCGGTATGGCGGCTCTTGTCGATGCGGCGGAAGGCACACAAGTCGGCATGGCTGCTGAGGCACTGGGCGATGGCCGCCGTCACCTCAGCAGGGAGGGCAGCGAACGGAACGCCCTCTCTCTGACCGCCACCTGTGACCATTACAGACACACACACAGAACTACAGGTGTATCATTGTGCCTTTCTGCAGCGAACATGTTGGGTTACCATTGGCAGCGGCCGACTCGAGTGACGATGACGTGGTAGAAGCGCCAGCCCCATCAGGAGCACCAGCCGATGTCTGCAATCAACGCCGACGGACAGGCGTCAGTTGTGCATGTGGTGGTTCTTCCCTTGCTTGCCTCACCGTGAACAGCCCTGTCAGCCATCGCCAGGCACTGGACATGCCGGCGACACTCACGATTGAGGACAGCAGTCCTTGAGAGACAGATCTGCCACAAACACACAGATATCACACAGACTGTCATCCCTTACGGCCCCGCCACCTCCTGCATGCCCTCTCTCACCTCAATTCGTCAGATCAGCATAAGTCAGAACTACTCTTCAAGCTCGCAGGTGAGAGGAGGCCCTCTCTCCGCTCCGCATCGTCTCTCAATCAGGTGTCGTTTTCGTTACCTAAAGCCAGCGTGTTTGCCGAGTCCAGAAGTGAAGACGCGTGCTGTGGCTGCTGTGAGGAAAGATGGTGTCATCTGTGTGCGTGTTGAGCCTCCTGGCTGCTGTCCTCATGCCGCTGCCGTCTGCTGTGCTGGCCCAGACTTCAATAACGCAAGCGGGGGTAAGTACAGGTCTACTCAGTACCGATAGGATCACGATGTGCCACCCGTCTGATGTTTCCCATCTTGTCCGATGTGCATGCTGATGTTTCGTCCTGTGTGCTGTTTGCACATGCAGACCGTTTCGCGCGTCACGCCAGGCTCTCTCAACCACCTCCTTGTGCTCGGTGTTATGAACGGGGATAGGAGCCTTTCGCTGTCTGTGCAGGTACAACAGACAGATGGCGCAACACACGCATGCATCATGCATGTGTGTGGGTCATGTGGTTTATGCCATTCAGAACCTCGGCCCGGGCAGCGTTTTTCTACAGACCGTCGATGAGAACGACAACACTGTCTCATCTGCGACCATCGCAGAAGCTGACTCGCTCACCAGTCGAGCGCTTCGGCGCGAGCAATGAGCTGACCTTCATCCTCGCGGCCGAGAATGGGACAGAAGTGTTCCGACAGACAGTCAACGATCTGACGTACACCCTCGCCGCTGAAGCCGACGACAGGTCGACGCTGAACATCAAGCTGACGACGAAGAACGTCGTACATCTAACTCTCGGCAACCCCCTGCCCTTCGACCTTGTGGCAACCATGGAACGCCAGGGCGAGCAAGTGGATGCCTCTGAGGCAGTGATTCCGCCGAGGGCCTGTCTCGCATCGGGTCGGCTGCAGCTGACCTTCCAACAGCAGCTGGCTGAGGGGGATGACTTTTATGCATCCCTGAGGCCAAAGGACGAGAGCCATGGGACAGGCGTGTAGGGTTTGTGGCCCTCACAAACTGTCCGCCGCCCCTAAGCAACGAAGACAGGAGACGGAGACTGAGGGCCATGGAGGGAATGGCCCTCAAGGGAATAGCCACGGTGAACGGCTGACCGCACAAAGCGTGACGTGAGGCAACAATAGTGCTCACTACTTCCTCACTCACTCACTCACTCACTCACTTACAACACACGTTCTCTGCTCCTTTGTTCATCGTCGCTCTTTTTGATGTATGTTGAGTCATAAGAGGTGAGACGGAATCAGCGTCTTGCGAACCTCTGTCGTTCTGTGACCATACGTTCTTGGGCTTTTCGGTTTGTGTGTGTTTGTGGCATCGCATCGGTCTGGAACAATCTGCCCTGCTGTCTGTCCTGCCTCCCCATTCCCTGCATCTAGTGCATTCAGAATTCCTTAACTTATACTGTGTGATTTTCGAGGTGGATCCAAGGCGCTCTCTGACTGCAATCAACCAACGATAATGAATGCCATTAATGCATCAGTCAGTCCGGCGCAGGGTCCGTCCACCACTGCACCACCCACTCCCACACCCACACAGTGAGTGTAGTGTAGTGTGTGTCGCGCGTCACGTGCCAGAAGTCAGTCACCAATCTATCTACACACACAGGACTGAGACCTGTGCTTCAACCCGCCCTCACCAATCGGCCCGCCAAGCCCCCACCATGACATACACACACATTCTCTCTCACACGCACCACGCCTTAAGAATACTGCTGGGTGTGAGCAGCTTTGCTGGCTCACCCACGTAGCTTCCCACTCCCTGTACGACACAGTGCAGGCAGAGTGTCTTTACTTATACTGAATGGTTTTCGAGGCAGATCGCCAAGTGACTGCGTTTGGTTATCGATGGGTGGGTGGGTGCAGTGCGGCGGGTGAGTGGAAAGGTACACGCGGCTGCATGAGGTCTGATCATAGTGTACGTCAGGCTGCGCCGTGTGGTTGATCGACTTAGGAGCATAAATGCACAGATGGCACTTAATCGAGTTAGTCTCCATTCGTTCACATCACACTCCCACAAAGCTAAGCCTGACGCTCATCCATCGGAACATCGCTTCGTGCGCAACTGCAGATGAAGAGAAGGTGAGAGAGAGACACACACAGTAAGTGCAACAATCCACTGCACAGCACACATGATGTGTGTCTCGATGTAGTGGAGTCTCCTGCTTTGGTCTTTGTTTGTTCCCCTCCCTCCTATCTACTTACTTGTCCCTCAACCAGGCCGCCCGCCTGATTGAGGGACACACAAGCCCGTCGCTGAAGAGAGAGAGAGACACAGACAGACAGACAGACAGACAGAGAGACAGAGGGCGTGCAGTGCGGATGGGATGGGTGTGTGTGTCTGTGCGTGGGTTGTGGGACGGAGCGGTGCAGCCTACCTGTGTGTGTGTCGAGGCGGCAGGTTTTACGCGCCCTTTGCGGGTACTCTTAATAAAGCAGGCTGTGTGCAGAAGGGAGATCGATGTCATTGATACAGTTTGACCGATGGACTGACTCATACAGTAGTTGTCATGAGTACAACCAACCGCACACACATTTAGTCATGTGCATGAGCAGTCTTGATCACTTCACAACACACACACACACAGGCATACGCTGTTCATGGAATGGACACAGTAGACGTCACATGACGGGACTGCACATCGCATGCAGGCATGTCTGCCCTCTCTCTCTCTCTCTCTCTCTCTCTCTCCTGCTCAAAAACGACGACGGCACTATCTGCCCTCGTTCTCCTGCCGCCACACCTTGCCCCCCAGCTGATCCCCCAGCACTCTCATCACGACAGTGCGCGTCTGGGCGTGGGGGGACGGCTCGGTCGTGGAGATATCAACATGACGTCCACTCCCCCAATCGATGGGCCAATGCTCCGTCAGTCGAATGACTGCCATGTGCCCCTCGCCCATCGCCTCACTCCCAAACACCACCAGCTGGCAATGCCATCCACTCTCCTTCTTTTCGTCGAATACCGTCGCCCCCCACTGTGCCGCATCGCTGAGAGGGGCCGCTAGCAGCTTACCCAAACGGAGGTACTCAGCAGAAGCACGACAGTAAGGCCACCAGGATCTGATGCGATTGATGTGGCGGCCGCAAAGAAGCCAGCGGAACAGCTCGAAGGCCACCATGGACGTGTAGTCGGGGTACGTCCATTGGTGCCGTTTTGTGTGTGGGTCGGCGGGGTCGAATGGTGCATGAGGGAAGAGCGGGCTGGCAGAGGCGAGGAGAGTGGGAAGGTAGTAGATCGTGTTGAGGTAAATCATGCCGTTGCCGTCCATCAGGGGTCTCTGTTGGTAACCAACAGTGACCCCCCCGCTGAGTATCTTCCACTGGCGTACCGCCTCCGTCTCACTCATGAAGGCCGCCCGGCTGCCGAAGACGCCGAAGTTGTCATCCCCCAGCACCAGTGACCTCTTGCCTCTCAGCAGATACAGCATCTCCAGCACAGGTTTCCATCTGGCCCACTTGCCGCAACTCTCCATCATCCACAGCCGCCGGCTGAGCTGTTCGATGAGTGCCGTGATGCAGCAGCCGTGGCTGAGTGCCTCAGGGAGCGGCAGCTGGGGGATGACCCACACGACGAGAGAACCGAGGCCGACAGCGGAGGGCAGGAAGATCAAAAGACGCTGCATGATGGGCAGCAGGGCGGTGGGGGCGGTGAGGGCGCCATGGCGGCCCTTGTCGATGAGGCGGAAGGCACATACGTCGGCATAGCTGCTGAGGCACTCAGCGATGGCCGGCGTCACTTCAGCAGGGAGGGCGGCGAACGGAACGCCCTCTCGCTGACCGCCACCTATGGCCATTACACACAGACAGACACACACAGTAGGAACGCAAGCCAAGCTCGCAGACGACCTCCTCGAAACCACTCAAGCCGCCAGGGGAGAAACTTATCTAGGCTCTCGCGTAAAGGGTAGGTGGCCGCGTAAAGGTGACGAGCACAGATCGACCGCTCACCCATCTCCACAGCACAGCACTCTCTCAGATCAGTCACACGCACACATCAAAGGAAAGGCCAGACTGACTGACCGGTGCTGTTGTGTTGTGTGTGTAGGTTTGCTGCCTCTTCGGAGGTCTCTGACGAACACATTTCGCACTCGCCAGCGCCGACCTGGGTCTGGTGCCTGTCGAGCTACCGATGAAGGCCACTCGCACACACACACAAGGTCAGACAAGCCACACTGACGACGCCATGCGACTGAACAAACATGTCACCATTTTGCCATTTTTGACCGTGGCTCTGTCTTGCAGGGCATGGTTGATGGCCTTCCTGTGCTCATACACTGATAATAGAGGTACGCCTGGGTGGCTGGCTGGGTGGCTGGGTGGCTGGGTGGCTGGGTGGCTGGGTGGCTGGTTGGCTGGTTGGATGGATGGATGGATGGATGTTGTGCGGGCGTGTCTGCCAGGTTGAAGCAAAAAACGCGCGCGAAGCGCGCCAAGGGGGGTCCGGGGGGCGAAGCCCCTCCGAGTTCCGCCTCAAGAAGGCAAGATGGCAGTCAAAAAACAGATGCCTTTTGGTGTCTGCTGCTGATGGCCATCGGTGGTTGTCGGCATCTGGTGACTGACTCGTGGTGATTAATCAATTGATGGCGTCTTGGCTGCCGTGGAGGTGTTCACCCAACATCATGCGTGTGTTCGGCGTTAGTTGTCTTGTCCTGCTGCTTCAGCTTGGACCTCACCCCGCGCTTTGTTCGCCCTCCCTCCCCTCGTTTGTCCACCCGGCGCGCGTGCACGCTCTTCGTAGCCTGACGGGACGACCCTGTGCCACAGATGGCTGTGAGCACAGGACGCGGCTTGAGGCGACTCAGGCGCATCGGCTGGTGCGCTTCTTGCGGGGAATCGAGCTGCCAGCATTTGGCGACACCCTCCGGCTGCGAGAGTTTAAGTATGCCGCGAATCAGCGGCGGCCGTGTGTGACACTATGTATGTGTGTGTGTGTGTGCAGGCCTCACGTTCAGCGGGGATGTGCGCGAGAGCATCAAGGCGCTTGCAGAGGTCTATGCATCTCGGCCCTTCAGTCACATCGAGGTCTCTGCCAAGGCACTTGAGCGGATCTGGCAGCAGTGCTGCAATGATGGAAGGTTCGAAGCCAAGCACCGACCGACGAACGCATGCTCACCCTGCGGGTGCGTGTGTGTGTGCGTGTGGACTTTGCAGGGACTTCGCACAGTTCTACATCGACATGTGGAGTGAGATTGACAATGG